GTGTACACACATTATATTATATTATATTATATTATATTATATTATATTATATTATATTATATTATATTATATTATATTATATTATATTATATTATATTATATTATATTATATTATATTATATTATGTTATGTTATGTTATGTTATGTTGTGTTATATTATGTTATATTATGTTATATTATGTTATATTTTGATATATTATTATAATATTATATTTTATTATATTATACTGTCTATATATATATATATATATTATTTTGGCTTCGAAGTCGAAGTCGGCTCCAGGAGCCCGGCTTTTCGGAGTCGCGGCTCTTCGGCCGGCGCCTTCTGGCGGTGCAGGCAGGGCCAGAGTTTTACCGGGTTCCTTTGGAGGAGGCCGCAAGCTAAGGCGCAGGGCTCCGGCTCGTTTCTCTGATTTTTCTGGGGGTCGAAACCAGGGGAGAGAGGGGAGAAGGGGAAGTTGACATTAGGTCGTGTTTCGCGTGCACCGGGTCATTGCTTTCACGTTCACTGCGCTAGCCAAGCAGAAAGGAGTTCCTGCGCAGCGTCATGGAGCCGTGAAGTTTCATGCAGGATCCGGATCTGCAGGGCGCAGCATATTCGGTGAGGTCCACAGCATACTGAAGAAGAAGACTGGTGTTCGGGTTTTCTGGAGTTGTGGAGTCACAGGGCCCTTGCCAGAATCCTGGCCCACGCAGCGGGCTAGGGATCATCTCGACAGAGGCCAGCGTGCCAGCATGCTCTTGCATAGCGGCGCTTGGTGAGGCTAGTTGGGCGCCCCCGAGTGTGGGCCTCTACGTGGAGGCCGTCGTTGAATTTTCTGCGCTTGCACAAACTTGTCCACGATTCACCGTGCTCACGAGCCCTCTAGCTTTCTCAACGGCACACTCTCCTTCGGAAGTCTGCTTGAGCAGGAAACGTCTGCGAGCGATCCCTACAATGCAGGGCCGACAGTGATTTTGGTTGCTGCACTGTTTAGATCGCAATGTATGCTGGTGTTGAGGGTAATACGGTGTCGCTTTCATCTGCCACTGTCTTGTGGCTTTCTTGCTGCTTCGTCTTGTTCGAGGCCGAGTGGCTTCAAGCTTACATCACTGCCTTTGGGAGGCAGTTGGGATTTGCAGACTGACTTCGTACAGAGTTTTGAGAGAGGCCTTGCAACCCCTCCTTTGAAAAGGTTGGGCTTGGAGCCCCACGTCATCTCCAAGAGCGAGGTCCGCGACCATTCTGAACTCAAAGTGTTCAGAGTTCGACGGTTTATGCGAGCGAAGCAGGCCACAGGCCATGTGACTTTCTTCAGTCGATTGGAGACTTCAAAAGACGGCCAGGAAGCCCAAGCAGGAGTTCTTTACTTCTGGCGAATCAACCAGATGTTTGGAGGCTGGGCGGGAGAGGAGGAGGTTTGCCAGCAGAGCATCCATCGCAGCCATGAACCTGCAAAATCCTCTGATCCGAGCATCAGGCCACAATAAAGGCACAGCCAAGTAGCCAAGGTGGCAGGCTTGCGGGGGCTCCGGGCGTGGGCCTCGCCGTGGCGCAGCATCTCGGAGCCCTGCACTTGGAAAACTCTGAGCAGTGCACCTTGCAAAATGCGTGCCTGACACTTGGGAAGCTTCGAGCCTTTCTCGATTCGGAGGAGGACCGTGACACAGCTAGATTGTAGGTAAGAGCAGGAGCCGAGGTGTGCCCCAGCTAGGCAGCCAGGCCCGCCTGGCAGGTCCGCGGCTCCCGCCGTGAGCGGTCGGCAGCTTCCACTGAAATCGACAGTCACCGAATTCATTGTGAAATCACATGCTTTGAAAGCTTTGGCACTTCTGAATTTGAAGCGTGCTAGCGTGTCGTGTGTGTGTGTATCTCGAAATCCTGTATCTAAGGACTCCGAGTTGTAAAGAAGATTCTTCTTAAAGGAATGATGCAACTTTGCATTTTTTGGATTTCAACAAAGAACAAAGAACAGCAGGGGGCTGGCAGCCTCTTCCGTGATGCCAGCCAACGAAGCTAGCGGAATGGGTGGAAGGAGTTATGCGTCCATAGCTCTGTAGCTGCGGCAAGTTTCACCGTAGTGCTGGTAGAGTTAGAGCTATTTTATCTGGCCTTGAGATCCAATTATCTTCTGATTATATTTTTTCAGATGCTGTAAGCTCGTTTCATCTTCTGAGTTGCAAGGTCTCGAGAGCTCCCATTACTAATTCAAATAAAGTAGATAAAGACTTTGAGACAAAATAAACCAAGGAAGGAAAGGAGATGAGAATGAAGGAGACAACCGGCACCGACCGGGATCTACGTGTGTTTTCTTTCTTTGCGAGGGAAATCTGACTTACCTCCGCCGTGAGAGTGGGGTATGCGTTCTAGCGCTCCAAGCATGCTCCCACCACGTGCGGTGAGCATTCGACCGCTTTATACTTGCGAGGTGGTCTTGGCAGCCTCAAGGGTGCTCTTTTGGAAGCAAGCCCTGGAAAGCTGCAAGCTACAAGTCACAAGTATACAGTAAGTGTTCTTCACTCACTATCGGGAATGGCAGCTCTGTTTTCTGCAATTCTGCGAGGCCCTCACATCACGGGGTGCGGCACCCTGGCCACGACCAGAGACCATGCAGCTGGAACCTCTGGGTGCTGAATGCTGTGATCCTGTTGGCCTGAAAGTCGCAACCAGGCTTTACCAGGACAAGATCGCCCTTCGGGAGCTCTTCGCAAGGCTGGGAGGGCCAAAACAGATCTCGCATAATGCTAGAGCAGCTGGCAGTTCTGCCCTCCCAAGAGGTGCGCCCCGTCTTTGGCAGTGTGCTACAAGCTGGTCATGTTTCATGACATCAGGCTCAAGCTCGAATAGTTGTAGTGGAGCACCCACAGCATGGAAGGCGGCAATGAAGGCGGCAATGGCCCCCCCTGTGGGCGCGATTATTGCGGGTCTGTTGTTTGCGGCAGTTTGTGTTGGAGGTTTTCTTTTGGACAGGTGTAGACACCAAGTGATTCAAGAGGAAGAGCAGCAGCAGGAGCAGCAGAAGGAACAGCTGGAACAGCAGCAGACGCAGTTGCAACAGCAGCAAGAGCAATTGCAGCAGCAACAACATCAGCTTCAACAGTTGCAGCTGCAGTTGCAGCAGAAGACGGCCGTCAAAGCAACGGTGGTGGGAGCGAAAGAGACAGTGAAGCCGGAGAAGAGAAGGCAAGACCCACAGTTGTAACATTATCAAGCATGGTCAAATCGAAGATGGTGGTATCAAACATGGTCGACTGAAATATTGTCGACTCAAGAATATTGTCGACTCAAGCGTGATTGAACCTGGTCGAAGCAAGCACGGTCTCAATGCAAAATCCAGAGCTTGGCAGCGTTTCACACGTATTGTGGGAGCCCAAGTCATTACCAATAGGACTCCAAGAGTTTATATATCTTGGTCGTGTTTACTGGCCCCTCGAGCCTGGTGCCGAATATTTAGGCTCTCGTACAATACGGCACCTCGCCTATGGACAAAGTCCAGTGGTGTGTTTGTGGCCAGAGAGGCGTCGGTCGGCCTGTGTGAAGAAGGCCACGGTCATTGATCCAGTGCCAACTGTTCAGCACTATACCCGAAACCCTGGTTCTTCGCTACGCTGCTGAAGGTAGCACGGCAGGTCTCACTCAACATGATACATGAGACTTCGGGACTTAGCAGCCCATGTGAGCGACTGGCTAAATCCCGCGCCACCTTGGGGTGGACATTTGTAAACTTGCTGTGAAAGCGATACCTGACTAACCCCAAAAGCGATCCTTGTAACTTGATGCATGTCGTGTGCAGAGCATAGGCATAGATCGCATTTGTGGGTTCGGGTTCGCGAAGGCGGCCCCGTCGTGAATGCATCCATGCAGAGACATGCGGAAGCGGTTGGGAGTTAAGCTACATCTCCCACACTGCTATAGTGTTAAACCGCAAACAAAAAGCAAATGTGGAACCCAAAAAAGGAGCGCTCCAGGAATTCCCGTCCTTGCTGAGGGCCTGCATTGGTTCAACGTTCGTGTAGCGGACTATCGGAACTTGCCCGTGTTGGGGTTTAGGGTTTCGGCTTCAGTATGCAGGCACTGCAAGCACACACCCGCATAATTTCAATATGATCCGTATAAAGTTCAGGGTATCTAGGGGTACCCCAATTTTGAAAACTCCCCTACCCCAAAATGCCTTAGCCGTGTTTAAGAGGTTTGGGCGGCTCAAGGGTAGAGGGTTTGGGCCAGGCATTGCTTGTAGGACGCTTGTGGCTAACGTGGGGGGTTGCTACGGCGTGTTGAAAGTGGGGCGGGTGGCCAAGTCGAGCAGCCCGATGGCCTTCAACCTCTGCGGATCTCCCGGTGTTCTTGAGTGGATGTTGAGATTTTCGGAGGTAGCGGTCAGGTAGGGGTTACAATGCATTACAAGTTCGAAAGTGAAATATGGTCACTAGATCCACTTGCGCAGTGAAGCTGCCCGCGGTTTCAAGAACCACCCTTTCTCTTCCACGGCCTTCGTTCGAAGAGTAGGTGTTGCTGACGCGATTCCCAGTGCGCCCTTCCCTCCGTTTCAGGAGTAGGCTGCATCTCTGCGGAATTCTGCACATCTCCGTGGCGCCCTGCAGGGTGGGTGTGCCTGCTCCCAAAAGCTGGGTGGTGGCCACCGTTGCGGACCTGGAGAAGCTTCTGCGCTCCAGCTGCAGTTGCATTCCTCTTGCACTCAGCATGCATTCCAGGTCGCAGGTCCCAGTGTGTCCCGCAGAAGCCGAAACTCCCTAGGAGTGAGGGCCAGCTGAAGGATGCAGACTTCCCCCTGGTCCTCGCCTCTGCGGCTGCATGACAAAGCAAGGGGGCAGACGCTGTCGCCAATAGGTCAGGCCCAGAAAGGCCAGCGTCCCGGACTAAATATGGAGCTCCGTATCTAAAGTCAGCAGTACGTACCGGTAGTAGGAGGTGGAGTTGAGGTTTCGCTTGGACTCGTGGCATGATCTCCGCTATTCAAGTTCGCCCAAGGTCTTGAAGCATCCCTACGCCGCATCTAGCCGTGGCATGAGGCACAATCTGTTTGTGCACCTATCCAGGGAAAAGCCCGACGGAAACAGCCCGGAAGACGTACCGCTGTTCAGCGCACGGCAACAAGAACAGGACCTCAACGCCTCGCCGCTTCGCAGGTCGTGCGCATCGATGGCCGAGGCATCGCTTGTGCTGGCGCAGTGGCTGCAGGAACACCAAGTGCCTGGGCCCCCAGGTCCAAGTGCTCTCTTGTCATGTCATTGGCGAAGACGATGACTGCTAAGAGGCCTTGTCTGCTCCAGCGCCGGCTGGCAATCTCTCGCGACATGCGCATAACCTACGTCCGGCAGCCCGGGTGTCGAATTTGAGACAGACTGCAGGGACATCAGTTTCGGCACATGCAACTCTTTCAGCAGGGTAATGTGGGTTGTGCTCAGGTCGGTGGTGAAATCATTCAAGGCTACTGGCGGGTGAAGGCCCTCTGCTGTGATTTGAGCCACCGCAGCAACATATTGCCAATAATTGCTAGTTCCGGTTCTAGAGTGCTGCTCTGCGTTCCATTCCGGCTTCAGTGCCCGATTCTTCTGCCTGATCCAGCCCTGGCACTCGTGTTTGTCGACTGCACGGGCGACACTTCGCCTCGTTTCGAATCAAGCTGGCACGTTAAAGCTCTGGCAGGATGAAGAAGACATCATTATTGTCATTATTATTATCATTATCATGCATGGCGGGGGGTTTGCGGCACTTGCACTTCCGAGGCGGATTCCGAAGACCTGAGCAGTGGCTCAGCGGCCGGCTCTCGTCTGGACTTCGCCATTCCAAGGGAAGCGCCGGAGCCTTTCGTTGTGGCAATCCTCGGCAGTCGAGAGCTTCTGCTCGTCAGGATAGCGCCTTTCGTCAGAAGCTTCGCGGAAGCGACAGGCGAGCTGGCAGCTAAGGCTTTCTTGGCCGTATTGCTAGTCCTGGTATGATGCTGTAGATGTCAAGCCACTGTCCTGGGAAAGTGTTTGGTATTTCAGGATGTCGTCGATAAAGTTCTTACTTAGCTAGCAAGTCCGTCAATTTCTGCCGACAGGCATTGACATCGGTGGGATGGACATTGCTTTCCCGGAAGGTTCCGATTCCGAAGGCTTGCATCCGGCATGGTGTGACAGTGTGGGGTTGTGACAGCCTGGACATGCCACATGTGTCTGTCTTCGGCTCTCTTATCATCGCTCTTGTAGAGTTGATCAGAGGTGCATTTAGTTTCATGAGATTCCGCGATCTCTTGCATCAGATATGAGGAGCATCTCAAGCAGACAGGTCCAGTGGTCTTCGAGGTGTCCCCGATCTTCGACCTGAATCCGGAGCCGCCTGAGGAGAGATGTCGAGTCCTTCAAGGAACCCATGCCGGGGGTCTTGGAGTCGAGTCCCGAAAGGAGTGGCGCAGCGTGCCATACCGAGAGTCGCTGCCCTGGAGCTGTCAGAGGGCGGAGAGTTGCAAGAGGCATCCAGGCATGCCTCCTTCTATCACGCAGGCACGATAGGCGCGTTGATGGTGGACAGTCGAAGTTAAGTGGAGGAATGCAATCACAGATCCACTGAAGGTACAAGCAGACTGCGGACTACAAAGCCAGGCATCTGAACTGGCCGCGAATTCTAATTGCAGCCTGCTAGCACGGTGTGTAGTGGGCAGCACAGCCAAGCCAGGCGTGCCGAGAACTATGCCCAGTGTGCGCAGAAGGCCTCGGGCTCGACCGACATCTTTCGGAGTCCATTCGATCGGATGGTTGCTTAAATCATTCCTGGCAAAGCTCCTGTGCTCTTCAGATTTTGTGAAGTTTGCTGGTGACCCCAGCTCAGCCTGTCCTCCAGCCTCGCAGAGGTGTCGCCCCGAAACCAAAGGCCACATCTCTGCCCCGACTGCCGGACGAAGGTCGTGGAGCATGCGCTGCATCGCAGGGGAAAGCTTTTTGTGGACATTGATAACACAGCCTGGATCCTGGTTTTCGTCTTCTGCCGTTGCAGTAGCTATATGCAGCATGTGCCCACGCCAGCAAAAACATGAAGGTCCGAAGAAGTCATGACCATGACCTAAGATAGTTTTGGACAGGATGCAAGGAGAGCTCTAGTGGTCGCAACCTAGCGATCCCGATCGCCCTTCATGAGGTCAGCGACGCATGGAATCGAATTCGCAGAGAGCTGCTGGCATGGGTTGGTTCTAGGGTGGGATATGCGAAGCGGCAAAGAGGGAGGGAGCCTTGCAGCACTCCCGGACATGCCTGTGCTGGCAGGCCACGATCCCCAGCTGGCCGGGCGAGACTTTTGATTCTCGGGCGCACCTGCCGGAGGAGCCGAACTGCTTGAGGCAACTGAACTTTGCCGTTCCGACTTCATTGCCCTGGCGGAACTAGAAAACTTCTGAAAAGAAGGGGTGTGCGGCTGGCACTGGATCACAGCAACAGAGTCGCAAGACCACCCAAATGTGGGTGTGTTGCCCTAGCGAGCTCCATCGATGTAGTCGGCATCCGGAGTTGAAGTTCTCCCGGAACGTGCTCTCCGCACAGCTGCACAGGAGTTGGCCAAAGATTTGCCACTGCCAGGCTTGTCAGTGATGTGCTTGTGCAGGTAGAGCCGGCAACTGCCATGTCCACTCTGCAGTGCAGGTGCCCAGAAGGCCTTAGCATCGCTCACACGCGAGTGGGAGATTACCTACCTATCCGTCTCAGGCTCAGCTCAGGTCGGGCACAAGACTTACTCAAGCCTCGCGAAACTGCGCCTTTCAGGCCCGGGGCGCTCCGGGTGCTTTTGATGCCACGCTGCGATGGCTAGCAGCTGGGCAAGGTGTTAAAAGACCTTTTGAGAGCGATCTCTTGAGTGCTGCCGTCCGTTTCGGCCTGTGCTAAAGCCACCCGACGCTGAACCGTGGCTGGACAGTTTAGCCTCTGGCCGCTTGAGGGAGGTGGGACGAAAGCCTTTCGCTAAAGAGATAAGGCAGCCAACGGCTTTCCCAGCCCAGCGCGCTTGCTGTTGGCCTTGGCCTTAGAGACGTCCGTGTGACTTCCTGGGGAGCACCCGTGCGCACTCAGACTCAACGAAGGTTTCCGGTTCTGGGCCTGTCGGCCTGAGGTTGAGTCTGCCGTGGACAAGATCGCATGGCTGCAGGACGGCCGGGCTTGGTTCGGGGTTGGTACCTGCAGCCCCAACAGGGCGAGAATTCAAAAATTTGGGTCGAGGACGCAAGCAGTTTGGAACCTCATCGTCGACCCGTGCTCTTGGCCTCTCAGCTGACTGTGCTCAGAAATCTTCATGCCCCAAAGTTTACTTCGAACTTTCGCTTGCGTTTACACGGCTGCTTCTGGTTTTCTTCCGGGTTTGTCAGCAGCTTTCCTGTGGCGCCGTCGAGAGCGGTTGGAAATAACCGAACCAGAGGAACGGTGACAGCTCAAAGACAGGACAGCGAGGAAAGACAGGCCGGGGAGCAAGGAAGGCGAGGAATCGACGACTAGCGCAGCAGTAAAAACACAGAGGGAAGCCAAGGAAGGACGCGCAAGTAAAACAACAGTCAAGTGACAAGGCTAAACGGAGGCCGGGCACAAAAGACAAGAAAAGCAGATATTGAAAGGAATATTGAATCGAAGGTTATCGGTACTCGGTACAAGTCCTACTATTGCAACATCAGACAAGGATCCAGTTTTCAATCTCGACAGCCCCAGCCAGGATGCACTCACTCTCGGACAATGCTTCTGGCAAAGAGAAATTGAGAGACGATACGGTATGTGCAGTGGGGTGACATCTAGCACCCTGTGCCCCTGATCCCCTTCCTTGCGTTGCCATGTCCATGATTCCCAGGTCGATGACCTGACGCGAGGACGGGGCCGCGCGGGAAGCCATGGGAAGCCTCGCCGGAGCAGGGTGAAGCTCATCTCACGTAATACTGTGAGATGTGTAAATGCTACATGATATTGTACAGCACTGCACAGTACAGTACTTGCAGTACTGGATCGTGACCGTGTGCAAACAGTATACATATAATAATATAATACACATGAATATATGTGTATACACAAGAATAGACCACCAGGACATCATCTTGCGCAAGCTGTCCCAGACGAGACGATGCGCTCGGCACTGCAAGCTCTGCGATTGGATCACGAGGCGAAGCAGCTGAAGTAGTGCTGACACTGCTGATACTGATTGTGATAAGTGGCAGCTGTGGAGACTTCCGTGGAGGTTTTTGATCCTCAGACAAGCGACTGGGCGAAACTCGCTGAGCGCTTGCTGGCACGAGCAGAACCCTTAGATTCCTTAGACGGAGCGTGATCACTACTCGCACGTCAGGATCGGAAGTTTTTGTTGAACGATGCAACCGATCAGCATTTCAATCGCCATTTTCCCGGAATTGTGACCTGGACATTGCTGGAAGAGCCCCGGTCTCCTCCAAACGTGATGGCTCTGGTTATGTGGCTCCCCTGTGCCAGTCCTTCTTGACAGCTGCTTGAAAGCTGACCTCATCATTATGGACCAAGGCTGCCGAGATGCGTGTGACTCGCAGCCGCCCGGCAGCGCCGGTCGTCCTCTGCCACGACTGAGACGCGCTGGAAAGAGTGTGCAGGCTGACAGTCGCATGGCGGAGAGAATCGTCACGCAACTTGTTTAACAAAGTCCGTGGAGGGGTCACAGAAGCTAGCAGAGGTAGGCTTTGGTTAAGTTCTAATGCAGCAACGGATGGGATCAATGGTCAGTTTCTGAGGGCAGGGTGTGACCAGCAGGGCCATATCAACATGGTTTCGACCACAAGAGCAACGACGACAACGACGCTCGCAAGACCAGCGCTAGCAAACAGGGACGACAAGATCTCTGACAACACCATGACCCTAGCAAGAAGAGCAGCAACAGTAGCGGAAATATGCAGACACTGAGGCAGCAGTGACCTTGACAGTGCACAGCACTCGATCGCTCTAACTCCCTGCACCGGGCTCGCACCTCTCTCCTCAAGTAGCGAAACCTCCCATCTCCCAGGACGGCGAGCCTTCCATCACCCTCCTTGTACCCTCCAGAAGTGACGTTTCTGACGCCGCCTCGCCTCGCCTCTTAGTTGCGGGCTGCAGAGATTGCCAAAGATCGCTCGCCGCTTCGCTCCAGGAGTCGAGGTCCGGCCCTCTGCCTCTGCGGTGCCATGCGGTACATGTGGGGAGTTTCCGAAAGTTGGGGTACCTTATTTTGGGGCCCTTAGAATATGAGGGTCCTACTATTTAGGGTACTATACTAGGGAAACTGCCATGTCCGTGTGCGGTTGCTTGGCCAGGCGAAAGATGGAGTCCCCCAAAAGAAAGCCAGGCTGCCCTCTGCAGCCGGGAAGCTCAAGCTCGACTTCACCCCAAATCACAGCACCAAAAGCAAGCACCACTCCTTGAGGCTGGTCACTCTTAACATGGATGCCAAGAAGTGCGAAGTCAATGAGGACGCGTGGTGGCCTCAACAAGAAGCCGAACAGCCAGCAGAACCTGGGCAGTGCCTGAGTCGTCTAAGGCTGGGCCGCCTAGAAAAAAGACTGAAGGAAATGGGTGCCAAGATGGTAACCCGGTCTGCACTTGTGCTTCTTCGCGGTCTGTCCTTCGAAAAATTGCCTGCTCAGGTAGCTATTGTCTCAGTTATGGGCGCTTTCCGAACAGGAAAGCCGAATGCTTGGACAGCTTGTTTTCACGTGTAGCTGAGTCCTTTTGAGCTTGTGGATCCAGAATCGCTGCCACACAGGAGATAAGAACTCAGCCCCCTTTTTCAAACGGAGCAAAGACGGAAAGAGACTGCTCCGAGTGAGGTCCTTCCTGTTGGACCTCTTCCTCCGCTTCTTGAAGTGGGAGGCCCGGCCGGTCTCCACAGGACTGGCCCTTCCTATGTACCCCTTTGTATCAGGCATGGCTTTCCTTGTGTCTGGCTGTTTTTTTAATAGGCGACTGTCCGCTGTTTTCTTTTGTGCCTTGTACTTTAGCTCACTCGGCCCGAGAGAGGCTCCGAAACTGTCTGGTTGTGATAGGGCGGTAGACTCGGTAGCCTCGGTGTCGTAGCGTTATAACTAAGGTAACTATACTTATAACCCGAATTAAAGGACTTATAACCTTATTTACTAAATCCCATTTTAGGGCTCCTAGGTATCAGAGCAATTCTGGATGCACACGCCAGGCGGACCATCCCGAGGAGGCTGCTGCAGCGAGAAGCGTTTGGGCCCCGGGCCCCGACGCTTCGAGTCGCTGGCAGCTCTCTGCGGCAGCTTGAGGTTGTCTTGAAACTGAGAAAGTGTAGTCAGCTCTGCCGCAGAACTGCGTCTGCAGCATGCTGCAAGCGAATCATCGCGCACGTTGCCGGACGATGTGAGTCAGTTGAGTGCTCGTTGTGCAACTCCCTCAGCTTCGCGTAGCCTCAGAAGTATCCTCGCGACAAATTCCAAGGAGTCGCAGCCGGCACGGGGTGGGAACGAGGATGGTTGAAGCAATAACTGTGCTTTTCGTGCGGAGACGCGTATGCTGGACCATGGAGTGGTCTGGTCGCTATGAGACTGATGCTTCTGTCGTAGAGGTAGACCGAAACGCTATCGGGGGCAACGAATTCGACAGTTCGGTATGGGTGCTGTGCTTTGCACTTGCAGACTATTGAGAGATGTACTGTGCAGGATTTTCCACTGCCCGCGTGGGTGAGGACCTCAACGTGCTGCTAGTCCGGCTATCACATTCTGTGCGGAAGCTTGTTGAGAAGAGTACTTGTTTGATGCAGTGATCAGTGATGAGTTCAGACACAGAGAGGAGGCAGAGAGAGAGAGAGAGCGAGAGAGTAGCGTGAGGGGAGCAATCCCCTCTCCCCCAGCCCTGGAGAAAGAAAGAGAGAGAGTAGCGCCGACGGCGGCCTGGGCCAGCAATGACACGATCCGGTGGCTGAACAGAGAACACGGCTGCGCGTGCACGTGCGGGGGTGTTACTGAGCTGAGATTTCGGAGATTTGGAGTGACTGCAAGGGCTTTTCCTTGGAGGGTTATGTTGGAGTTTATCTCATCAGCAAAGTTCGTCGTTGCAGACTCAGACAGAGTCGAGCTCTCAAAGGCTTTGTAGGACACCATCTGCAAAAACATGCAGAAAGTTTCTCGTGCATTGGGGGGTTGGACGAACAGAGCCACAGCAGTGGACCCCAAGCCCCCAAAAAGACAGACATGCCAGCGGATCGAACGACAACGGGGGTCGCACGCTTGCGCAGGGGTAGGTCGTGATCCACGGAAAATTCTGCCCGTTTGCGGCGAAGTTCTCTGCCTACAGTAGTTTATCCGTCTATCTATCTGTCCGTCTGCGCCTCCAAGATCACGACAGCGGGCGCCAACATAGAGGGAGCCTCCGAAGATGACGAGGTCCGTGGCAGTGGTCACCCTGAAGTGTTCCGATCCGGTTCGAGAATGTCCGCGCAGGGCTTTCGGTTTAAGGGCGGCATGGACGCCTGCACAGAAGGCATATGGGTCTGGCCGGCAACTCAAGCTGTGAGAAGCAGCTCAGAGCAGTGTTTTGGAGTCTGCTGTGCCGCCAAGGTCCGAGCCTTTCTTGCGACAGCTGAATGGCCAGGACGTTGCAGTCCTTCTGATGGACACACAGGCTCCGTGTGATTCCCGCAGCAGCCCTCTGAACTCTGAAAGTACAACCACGTCAGGGCGCCTGGGACAGTAACATGACCAAGGACCATTTCAGTCTGAGAGCTCGCAGACTATGACGTCTTTCCTTGTCTGCACTGCCTGGCTCTGAACGGATTCAGGGTGACGATGCAGGGATGGAGGAATAACAGTCAAGAAAATCGAGGTGCCGTTCGACCCTGCCTGCCATGTCTGCGGTGCCACCTGCCAGGAGCAATCTGCAACAGTCTTTGGTTTGACCGCAGTGCTGTCGTCCAAGCAGCTCCTTGGTCGCAAGATCCTGCCCAACAGCACGAAACTCACCATTCCCTTTCGACCCTAACCAACCGACCTGCACACGGGGCGTGTGTCACAGCGCCCCGGGCCTCTGCCAATACAGGGCCGTGGCGTGGCTTTGAACCCGGATGCAAAATGCATAACAACAACATGACGCAGCGAGTGCGCGGTGCTGGGAGGCGCCTTTGAGCTCCGATGGCCAAGGGTCGCTAAGGGTCAACAGACGTGAGCATTCGCTGAGAGCACCCCAGCCTGGAGAAACGTGCGCCCGATGATGCTGATGATGTTTTTCGCTTGCTTGGCCTACAAAAAGAGAGGTTGCGCATCATGGGGGACCAGGAGGCATTGCACAGGGCATGACGTCGGCCGCCCAACAGTGGAGTCAGGCGGAAGAAGGCCAAGCTGGGCCTGCAGAGTGAGGCAGCGAATCAACAGCGAGCAGAGACCAAGCTTTCAGTCCGGCAGAAGTTGGTGAGATCGAAGGATGCGTTCAATGTGCTGAGGATTTACAACATCAACATGCAGATACAGGAGGACAAGGCACTGTTTTGGAATGTGTATATTTCCAGCAGTGGCATCCTTGTCACTGAATCGTAAAGTATTCGCAGAGCTGGCTGCACCATTTGCCAGTGGAATGGCTAGCAAGCGTGCGAAAGGTGGAGAACCTGGCCTACTTCATGCGCTTCGCGCAGGCGGAGCTCAATAAGGCCGCCAGCGAGATGGAGCGAGAAGGCCGGAGGCGACGATTGCTTGCAAACCGGCAGGTGCAGGGATGAATTCTCCAGGGCAGCTGCAGAAAGCTTGCGGAATCGTGGAGCTTGAAACTTACGGAGCAACAGCAAGCACATCCGAAAGAAGCTATAACCATGGCGTGGGTGCCATTGGGCCCTATGTAGGTAGCAAACCTGTGGCGCCAAGAGTGCGAAACAAGCTTCAGGCCTTCATCGAGTCCGACAGTTCGCAACACTGTGCGGGTGTAGTACGGGACTGCAAGATTTTCTCCTAGATGGGAATTGTGCTTTCTTGCGCACCCGTGGGCGCGCCCCATCAACCTCCCAATCTCGTTTCTTGCATAGAACAGGGTGATACTGATATCTTACGTGCCTAAACGAAGGATTATCCGCACATAGTCCCTGTGAAGCTCTTGCGCTCAGAGTAATCAAGATTTGGTATCACGAGCAGTCGCCCTCGGCGGTTCCGCGCCTCCCCGGTGGCACGGTTCATATTTTCGACTCAAATCGCCGTCGTTCCTGTCACACTGTGCCCCTGTCCCCTGGGGACACAACACTTTAGCATTCATGCTCCGGCCACAGTCACATGCATATTTAGGTGGTGTCTCTTGCAGAAGTAAATCGTGCTCGGGGTGCAGTGCACATTTCGCTTGCGACCGTGTTTCCACCTCCTACAATCACGTACCCGCCGCAGTCCAGGGGCCTAAAGGGTGCTTCTGGAGCGGTTGTTGCTTTCACCGTTCGGGGTTTCGCTGGCTTAATTTGGGCACAATGATGCAAACCTTTCGGCAAACTCTCAATGGAACCGCGGACAATGACAGCAACATGCCGTCATCTGGCTTTGTGCAAACCGGTGGAGGGGGGGCGAAGGGCGAAGGTCCGACGACACAGTTTCAGCTGTGAAGCCCTCGGACTGGAGTTGCAAGAACCGAATCTTGAGCAAAACGGGCCCGAAGAAACCGCGGGCAGTGCAAGAGGATTGCCCCGAGAAGCTGTGCAGCTGCGGGGTGAAATCGAAAAATCGGATGCCGCCAGGCAAGCCTTTGAGCCGAGCGCGGAGCTCGGCTTTGACGTCCGGCGGAGCAAACTAGAGCGTCCGATGTGTCCCCACAGGAGGAGATCGACAGACCCTTTCAGTCCTTAGACTTCCTCGTCCGCGACTGGCGACACTTCAGGCGTGGCCTAGACACCAAGCTTGTTGGTCGTGCAGAAGATTAGGATTCTGTGGCTGCCTGTGAAAGGGATGACTGGACAGTGGATCAATGCATGGAGCAGATGCAGCAGCGAATGCCCCAGTTTCCTTCAATCTCCGCAACACACAAGGGCTTGGAGTCGGCTTGGAGCAAGACAGCTACCGTAGAAAGCCTCGGCAGTCTCATGACATTGACCAGCTAGGTGTCTACAACATGTACCCCGCCTCCCATCCCAGACATCGAGACTCAATTGTGCAGTGTTTTTCCAACCACTTACTCCAAGAGCATACTACGTCATCCCCCCTTCCAAAAGCACCAAACGATTTCCTCAACGAGTATACCACCAATTGCCCACCACTGGTTCCAACTTTTCAGACCTCGTTTCTGCTCTCTTAACCGGCCAGCCACTGGCCCCCAAGCATCCACATCTTCAGCATCCCTTGGTACCATTACAACGACGATAACCACCGCTTGCATTATCACGAGCAGTCGTGGAATTCCACGAGAACGCGTAGAGGAGCGGGGCTCTGAAATAGGTGCCGAGGGCCCCGGGGTTCTTGCGAAAAAGGGCTTAGGGTTTAGGGTATGAGGATTTATAGCGTGGAGGGTGGAGTACGATACAACATCAGGCGAGTACCTGTTATTGCTATTATTGTCGTGAGTTCTATTGTACCATGGCCATTTCTCTGGCTATTACTGCTACTACAACAAAACTGCTACTACCAGTAATACTTTGACGGTAACCAAAATCATTACTAGCACTATTGCTTTCACTTATGACATGTCTGAAACAGGTGCCGTAGCGGCTGTATCTTGGGCCTATAGAGTGGAGAGTGGAGTACCTCTCCGGAAAAATGTTGATGATTAGTACTACTACTAGTACGGATACCACTAGTACGTACTAATCGTACTGTTAACATGGATGCTCCTTCAAACTACGTCTGCGCACGCCCGGGACTGTTTCCTGGATTAGGACGGGAACACGCGCGACGCAAGTAACAAGGCAATGCCAGCACACTGCCTCAGGCGAGTGTTACACTCTACACTGTAGTCACAACCGCCCCGACCCATCATTTCCGTAAATGAGTCCCGGGCCCTATTTTCCTAGAACCCCGACCCCCCCCCGCCCGACATCCCCACCACTCGGAGAAGCATACTCTAACTCGAATCAGAAAAAGGTGTACCACAGGAACGTCAGAGTCGCTGGCAATTTATCGGGGAGCTCAGGCACCTGTCCCGCCATGTCAATCCGCAGAAGATGGTAGAGAACAGCACTGCCGAGGTGGGCATGGCTTGGGTTAAGTTGGGACAGGAACACTGAACCTCTGTTGTGGCGCTGGCCCTGTGCTTTGGAAAACCGTGGATATCGGATTTGCGAGGGCATTGGCTCCGCGAGCTAGTTTTGGACTTGAGGGCTGTCTGGAGCGGGCTACTGCTCCCTCGCCATGAGGCGCTACATGCAATGTTCAAGCGCTTGCAATGCTTTTGCTTGTCCGGTGCCTAGCCTTGCATTGCGGCAGACATCAGTAGACACTTTGAGCCTCCAGGCTTGAGGGACTCTCGTGCCAAGGCCCCACCCGGGACTCATCATCGAGAAGGACACGTGGACCGGCAAGGCAGCTGCCGGACAGCTAAGAGAGCTTTTCAATGATCAACTATGCACCAATGCCGCCTTGACAAGCCACGAGCAGATCTTTCGATCCGTGGTGTACTTACTGCGTAGAGGTCGCTGACATCAACAGAGACTTCATCCGGTTTATGGATCTCTACGTCCGGGACGTCTTCACCACAGGCATGCAGTGATGCTCAGTAGAGCCACGACAGACTCTCTCACAGTCGATGGATTTCGCGGAGATCAGCTGCAGCTAGGAAGCTGAACTAGCAGTTGCAGCTATTGGAGGGAACCGTGAAACCGTGAAATTTCTTGCTCGAGATTCGCATGCCTATACCTGCTCCCCTCAAGCAGGCCTGAGCACCAAGAAGATCTTGGGCTCGGAGTTAAGCCTCTTGGCAGCGAAGCGATCATCCTCTGAACGGAAGAGTGGCTTGTAACCGAGCAGTCTCACGGGGAGCCGCCTCGAATTCTTCATCGCAACACGTGCACGGAGGTACCATGAGCTTTCCGCACGTGCTGCGAAACTTTGCGCGAGCCTGAGAGTCTTGCCCTAAGCTTTCACACCGAGAGAGCTTCGAGGCTTCGGACCTGAGGTCGATGCATTTCACGACGCCGCTCCGGCTGCCATGTCCTTTACGCAGGCCATGACCAACTGCACGGTTCCGGCCTCACCTCTGCCGAAGCAGACGGATGGGACTCGCGCGACCGGGGGGCTAAGGTACTCTTGGCCAAGGAAGCGGCCATGAAGAGTTTCATCAAGAAGATGGACGAGGCACGCGAGTTCTCGTCGGCTCGGTAAGGACTTGACCGTCTCTCCATTCGTTACAGCTATCCCAAAGCTGCCAACCAGCGCCAGGAAGCATCGAAGAATCCTAGAGGCAGGGCTCCGTGAGCAACGGACAGAGCGAGGGACGGATACAGCATTCTGATGTTGCTTTGCGACATCGTGTCGGTTTCGGGCTGTTGGTTCAGCTTGCCGGACCTCGGCAGCAAAGGAGGCCAGATCCCTGAACTTAGTTTTTTGGCATCAGGGCTCAGTAGCTTGCCCGAGCCACCAGTCCAGCTTGAAACCTGCAAAAGATGCCTGGGATCCTCCAGCGTCTACTGCTCCCCATTCAGTTCTTGCTGGCTGGAATACTGATGCCATATCAACATGACACGTGCGCATGCTTGTTGCCAAGTCATCGGCCATTCAGGCATGAAGCCTGAAGAATTCACAAGCATTTCGAGAACTGTCACCCAGCAAGTGGAGGAGGGGCAGACTGTCAGCATTCGTCACTGAGCATGAACTTGCAGCAGTGCAGGATGACTACAAGTCCATGACGATCTTCGGGTCGGACACTCACTGCAATGCCAACCACGAGCGGACAGTCTCCTGAGAGCGGCCTGCCGTGCTGAACGGATCTGAACGGGTATGTGATCATATCATCTCAACCCACTGTTCCCTCTCGCAGCTCAATTCAAAAATGGGTGGTGCTCGAACCACCACTCGGTGCCCAGGACCTGGGTTGAGTGGCCGACCATGCAGCCTGCATCATGAACATCATTTGGTCTTCGTTTACCCGCCCAAGTTGAATTGTTAGGCGCAGAAGTGACTTGGAGAAGGGAGAAAACAAGAATGGGCTGGTGGCGGGTCCGGAGAGGGACCGTAATGGCAAGGTAGCAGGGCCACGGTGTGAAGTTATGTGGTTTTGTGTTTGCGTGTGGTTGGAGCAAACATTTCCCAGAACGAAGACATGGTTTTTCGCACATATTCCATGCGACCATATGCACAGTTGATTTCGCAGAAGAAAACTGTTTGGGGCCGTGTTGGGAAGGGCGGAGGAGTGCGACTAGAGATACCGTCGCAAGCTGCGAAACCAAGGCGCAAAGGTCCTGAGGATGTTGTTGGGAAGAGAACATGTTTCGGCAGGCTTGGGTGGCGAAGGAACGGGGACGATATGTATGTATGTTTCCTGTCAGGATCAACATCATGGGAGACCACTCCTCTGCCGTAATTAAGGCAGTCGTAAGGATATAAAATCGCTGCATGCAGCACCCAGGTCAGACGACACCAGGAAAGACACCTGGACCGAAATCTGCACGAACTTGGAGAACCTCCGAAAGAGGTACGAGCAGGAGACGCGACGGGACGGGAGTTGGGGGTTCAGCCATGCTCCGCAGAGCAAGAATCGATGCTGATCCAGTTATGGCGCGAAGTCTGTGGTTACCTTGCCAACCTGTAGTCCTGGATTTTGAGGAATTTAGAGCATAAGAGAAGCCTCGCCCAGAGCTTCGAATCTTATGCGTTCAGGAGAATGCGGCACGACTAGAGAAGGCACCAGCTTCAGGGCTCCGAAGCTGTAGCCGTTGCTGTTCAGAGAAGACACGCCCAGGCATTGGTCGCTTTTGCGAACATCTCCTTGATTGGCCTAGCACTCTTCCTGCTAGATCGAATAAGCCGCCTGCTTGCAGCAAAGCCTTTTTTTCCTGGTTCTCAGGCGCACCTTACATTGCGGAAGGCATAGGTAACTTCCCATGTTGTCAGATCGGCCTTTCGTCCGAATGCAAGACGTAGCTTAACCAGCCTACTGGAACACTACTTAGCTGGTTTGTTTGCCCCTGCAAGTAGATCTTCTCAGCTACTGATGCGGTGCTCGCTCGTTCTGAAGAGATGCCGAATTGACCTGTCAACACAACGGAGACGCCTGTCCACCTAACAGTTCCGACGACCTGACCGTTTCCGATCCGTGCTCCCCTTGTCGTGCTCAGGCGACTGGACTTGTGATTGGTGGTCGCAAACATGTACGGACTTGAGCAAGGCTCCGACAATCTGAGAGGGCAAACGTCTGGGAGACCAGTACTGCGAAAGTTGCATTGAGCTATATTGAGCTGAAGGCTCTCACTGCTGGAAGATAGTTGCGATGGTTCCGTGTTGCTTTCACGAGGGCTGAATTGACCTAGACGCTAGCCTTTTACGCACGCTTTAAGCAGAAACTGCACCGCGCAGTTGATGCTTCTAGCCTACGTGCTCATCTTTGGTTACGCGCGTGCCTCAGAACTTTCCTGTTGACCCTTCTCGCTGCCTTGTACGGCTGTCTCAGGTGGGTGTGCAAGCGTACCTCGCTCTCCACGATCGGGGGCGAGTCGCCGGAAGCCCAAAAAGCCCAAGTCTCCTCATCTTCGCTTCTCTCTGCGCTTCTCAGATCTGAAGCGCCTGCCTAAGTGACAGGCCGCCGCCATGGCAGGAGGCGAGCTCTGGAAAGAAATGGTCCGCTTGATGGGCCTGCCAGGACCTCAGTGATAAGAGAATGCAGCCTGCCGAAGAAGTCTGAGCGCTCAGGTGGGAATTTCCGAAAATTGGGGGTACCTTATTTTGGGGTCCTTATAATGGGGATCCTATTATTTAGGGTACTATATTAGGGTCCCCTATTTTCGAAAACCCCCAGGTATGGAGAGCTCCTCCAAGAGATGGAGCTGAAAGAAGTGCCGGGCTGGTTGAAGGAGCAGGCGAACTTCCGGTCACAGTGAGAATTGAGCGCTTTGCCGAGTTTCACTGCAACACACAAAGTTCGGTACAGCAGGCCCTGAACTTGTACAACCAGGCCCGGCTCTCGGACGACTCGGACGTGTATGGTTTTTTTGGTTCACCATATGTTTTTCTTTCTCAGGCTACGGGAGCAGCCCCTAGCATCGACTCCAAGAACAAGAAGGCTGGACTTTGCGCTGCAAGCTTTGCTTCCGAAAGTTTTTCCGATCAGAGTTAGCTTTCAGCTACCAGGACTGAGATGCACATTGGCCAATGCATTGCCAACGAGCCGACGAGGGCTCCATGCGTGAGTGTGGGTCCAAAGCGGTTGAAGGGCATGTGAAGAGTAGTGTAGCTACAGAACATACTTCGACTTAAAGCTGGGGAGTCAAGCCTTCCATGGAGGGCATTCAGCCCAGCTCGGCCTCCCGACCGCTTTCGAGCCTGTGGGGTTGCCTCCCGCCCTTCGACAGTGAAGCCACGTCGTTGGACGCGCCTCTTTGCAGATGCAGAACTGCACATGTGACATGTGCGTGAACAAAAGGGGCACATGGCGATGTCTGCAGTCTGCACCCCTCCAAACAGCGAGAGCGAGACCGCCCCTTCGACTTCGGACGATGTTATCAGGCCCTCGAGTGAAGATTCCAGCGCTCCCGAAAGCTCCACCCAAAATGCATTGTGACTGTGAGGCCCAGCTGAGCACAGGGTGAGGGGCGGGGGGTGACTTGCGCTGCTCTCTTACGACGCGGGGATTCCTTTCTTTTGAGGGCCGGGCTCCGAGGCAGGCCGGGCCTGTGACCCGTGGCCAGCACCACCAACAACACCAACCACCGCCGCCGCCCCCGCCGCCAACAACAACCACAACCACCAGCCTGTTGCAACGACTAATGCTGCTACGAAGACTCCAAGAACGACTGCGAACTACGACGACGACTGCATCTACGACTGAGACTACAACCATGAAAGCAAGCAAGTGCTGCCACTGCGACATACTCTTACAGTTTCTCATCACAACAGTAAAACCAGCCACGACGAAAGTAAGAAGACAGATGATCGCGAGAGGTTTGCTGGTCATCAAAGGTATCGTGTGTAGGCCCGTTCCATTTCCAGACGTCTACGTCGAGTTCTGAAAGTCATCGTCATGATGTCTTGTGCTGACACCGTGTGGCCCGCGGCTTGCTCGACTGTGCGCATTGCTCGACTGTTGCGTTCACGTGTCGTCTATGCTTTCTCTGGCAGGACGTGCCCTACTGCAAGGGGGCGGGCTCAGTCACGGTAACTTCCCCTTCTCGGAGAAGTCGGAGCTCTCCAAGTTAGAGCAGAAGATGAGCGACCTCTTGGAATGTGCAGCTCTTGTGAGCTGCTGGCTGCGCATCGCCGCCGTCGAGGCTTCAGCAAGGCACATCAAAGGCAAGAGGTACAGTGCCCCTCAGTCCTGAGTTTTAAGGGAGTCTGTTCGGAGTCCATGAGTTTTGGAGACGAGACAAGACAAGGCACCAACTATTCTGCGCTCTCTAGGAGCAGCGTGGCAGGCCTTCGCCATTTAAGCCCACACCCTTGAGCCCATCGTTTGTAATCTCCTAAGCCTCAAACTGCCGTCGCAGCTTCATGGGAGCTGGGAAAAGCGGGGGCCTCATTTAAAAGGAGCTTCGCAGGCACCTGGAGCCACGACGGCGTGCACGTGCACGGATTTCTACTGAGCAGGGTGGTCAGATGAAAATAAGGTGCCAAACCAGCAGCCAAGTGCTCCCCCACCGTTTGCAGCAGAGTACGGGGAGATCCTTCCAGCAACTGCCCGCCCACCTTTGCGTTCTGACCTTCTCAGCCTCTCCAGGTATGAGAAACCTGCTGCACAGTCAGCGGGGAGGCGCTCCGAGTAGAAGAGCCATGAGTGCTGCTGCAGAGAGTGCTTCGGCTCACCTGGCTCTCTTTGCAGGGCCTGGGAAGCTTCAGGCCAAGCGAAAGGCCAGCCCCTGCAGAGTGAAATTAATTGCACCATGAGGAGTTTCAATGTGCACATGCCAAGAAATCAAATTCAAGTGCGTCAGTCAGCAACTTTGAGCCCTTTGTGAGGTTCAAAGGACAGTGCAGGACTTCGGGCAACTGCATCGAAGGAGGAGTCCACTCCCCAAGTCGCAGCAGGTCCAGCTTCCCATACCAACGGCGCAGAGTGCCAAGGCCCCGACCCAGCGGCGGCAGCGCCAGCGGCAGCGCCCCGCGCCATGCATCAGCGAAGGCATCTGCGTCGAGTTGCTGCACAGTGTGTTTGCGCGCGTTCCCGGCAAAAGTCGTTTTGGTTCTCCATGGTGAGGGTCAGTTGTGCAGCTGTTTTGGAAGCATGCGGCCGGCCCATGGTCTTAGCATCATCTTCCCAAGCATTGAATTGTCACTGCATCAACAAGCAATGCCGAAAAGAGCTGGTGCCACAACGCAACTCAATCCGGAGCACACAGTCACTCACCTTTTACGGCGTAGTTGCACTTTTGCCGAATCCGCAATTTTGTCCAGTTCCCGTTACTTGGGTTGACTGCTAAACTGATACTTGTCTGGCATGCTGACCATCCCTTTGAACCCCTGAATCCAGATCTGGCCAGGTGATGAACGTTGCCGAGCTTGCTCCAGGCGATGATGAGGCAGGTACGGTCCTGTCCACCGCCCCGCTCAAGCTTCGAGATCCGGTGCCCCAAGACTGGGCCACGTCGAGGTCGAGCGGAGCTTCAAAGAGGAGATGCACTCTGCGAGGCAGGGATTCGGAGCTTTGGGGATTTCGGTGACTGTACAGCTTTCCTTGCAGAGGACGCGCCCGGCCGGCATCGAGCCGTCGCCTCGCCTCGCTTTGGACACAGCAACAGAAATCTTCCCGCAGCACGCTCCTGCTTCTGAAGGCCCCAGAAAGACCTTTTAAATGTCCGCACGATCATGCATGACAACTTGTTCATCCATTCCGGGCTCAATGCGTGAAAGAGGATGGTTTAGAGTCACGTTGGGACCCGTCAAGAACTGCAATCTGCCGGATGCTGCCAGGTCACCAGCATCAGGACGTGGACAGTGGAGTGTTTCGGAGTGTCGGAACTCTTGCTGCGATAACACAAGCCATAAGCTTCTTGGCTGTGCGACCACATACAATATTCCTCGCGACAGTGCAGGAAGCAGAAGAAAGGCTGGAGTTTGAGTTCGCTTCAGCCGAGTGTCGATATGGCCGAGCGAAATTTCTGTATCATTCGAGGGGCCGGAGACCCGCAGTTTGGCGCCACAAAGGCCGGACTGTGCCGCCTCATGCATGAGCCTTCAGAAATTAAGCTTCACGCAGACGCGACACATTGGCTTGCCCTTTTCAGGCTGGCGCCAGATGCCCGCGGCTCTCCAGCCAAACATGGTGGCCAGGCAGACTGCAGCGAACATCAGACTGTAGGAGGGTATGATCAGCGTGCTTCAAAGGGCCGGGATGGAGCGGTGTTTGCACGGACATGTTGCAGATGTTTTGGGCGTGTCAAAGGCCCGTTATGGCGGCTATGAAGGTCGCGACCTCGATGCCGTGGCTTAGGCCGAGGCTCGCTCTCTCCTGGGATATTCTTCCGAGGCAAAGCTGCAGATGCCGACGAAGGCGAAGCGCAGATACCCTGGCTTCGAAGAGTTCTCTCCGCCTTCCGCGCAAGGCAAGTCACCCGTTCAGGGAGCCACACTTCCGGAGCCATGGACCAGGCGCCGTCAGCTTCGGACTTGGATTTCTGCCTCTGGATTCAAGAGGAAGCCGCCATTTGCCAGCCGTCAGACACGCGAAGATGAGAAAGCCTGGCCCTTCACCGCCTGACCGAAGCACACTCAGAAGCTCTAGGAAAGCCAGGAAGGCTAAACCTGGCTGCGCAGCACGGTCGAGCGCCAAACATGCCAAGATCGAGCCGACTACGGTAAAACGTCTCTGCCTGAGCCTTCGCCCTCCTCGAATGCGTGTGCCGCAGCAGAAACTGATGTTCCCCTCTCCGGAAAGATTGCCCCAACTCCGCGGCTGGCAATGGGAGAACGTCCCGTGCAAGTTCGCTTGCTCCTAGGTTTGTGACGGTCTCTGCAAACACACACTCATTGCTATCTCTGGAGCGGTCTTTGCATGCACCTGGTCGGCATGCACTCACGGACAGACATCCCTCACCCTGCGCAGCAATTTGTATGCTGCCTGCATTGCAACGCATTTTCAGCACAAGGTGCAAGTAGATCCCTCTCTGAAAATGATCTGAGAGTCCCGGTGAGAGTGCTTTGGAAGCGGGGCCTCTTTGCCCTGCAGCTCGGGCAGGCGCCTGGCCAACACGATGATCCTGCACACCGTGCAGAATTCAATGTCCCGGACTGAGCAGCAAAAGCGATCATCGGAGGGCTGTCGGTATGTCCAGGGCTTTGCTGCGTTGCTGTGGTTTCTTGATCTGCACCGCTAAGAGCAACCTTGCCTGAAACTGTAGAAACGGCAGCCATCAACAAGAGTTGCTGCCAAAGAGTGCTTTTCCCAGGCCTTAGCCTGAAGCCAGGGTCTGCAAGCGCCAGTACCAAGGATCCTTGCAACTTACCTCCTGGAGCTTCTCACAAGTGGCTGCTCTTCCGCAGAAACGCAGCTTGCTAGGTCACATCGGAGGATTCTCCAAGCAGAGGGTTGCATATGGTCTGAACACTGATGTGACACTCAATGGCACTGCAGTCAAAGAGCCTCTTGCCGGAAAGTGCGGAACAGGTTTCAAGGCTCCGTGACCCTGGCACTCCAAGGCTACGGCGCCAGGAGTGCTTTGCACATCGCTTGCTGGGAGGGATCCCTGTCGGCGGTGCAGGCTTGAAGCATGTGATCCGTGCTTTGTGAATCTGGAGAACTGCTCAGCATCTCAAGATTTCTGCCATATGTCTTAGGCCGCTTTCACGTAGACATGTACTTTTTGCGTGGCGGGCCTCCTATCGGCCTGCATTTGTTGCAAAGCGGGCTGCGCTTTACATGGGATGTGCCGAAGAAGGTAAGTGAACCGCGGCACTTTCTACAGATCCGTTTGTCTTCGGAAATGGCGAGGGGGCGTCCAAAGATACATCTCTCTCATTCTAGAGCCGTCCTCTTACTGATCGCTCCTTCAATTTTGGCAGATCTCGTTTGGTCGGTACCCAGTAGGAGTTAAAGCTCTTCACGTAAGCTGCCACGGGTGTCGCAGGTCGTGGCCAACGGCTCAAAGAAAGCCGTTCAAGACTGGTCCGACCCTCAGGCTGAGGATGATTTTGGCTCGCAGGGATGCTCGGGTGATTGCTTGCAGCTTGCTTACAGAAAAAGCTGGACTCTAGCGGTACACCCGCTTTCCGGGTTCTAGAGACGCAGAGGAGAGCCCGTCTTCCGTCCTTCTGAAAAGTAGCCCAGCTGGCTGGTGCGCACAGGCAGATCACAACGCACGTGAAACCTTGTAATGCTTGCTTAGCTCTGAGGCACCAGCGGAAGGGAGATTTGACTCCGCTGCACATTGCTGCGATTTGCAGCCATGCGGAGGTGCCCACTACTCCGGTCTGGCAAGCTGTGATGTACAACAGTAGTCTGCCCCCTGCATCGGCGATGCTCTGATCGGTTAGGTTGCCGAGCTTCTGCTGGGCTACGACATCGATCCGGACATCAATACCGTGCGGAACCTTACTCGCAATGCTACTAAAGAACGGGCTCTGTGAATGTGCGTCCCAGCGAAAGTGTCGACTCTCGCACTTTGCTGATCAAGTGAGTCATTGAACGGCACCCGGAAGAATGACGGGCTGATACGATCCTCGAGCAAAGAAGCCAGCCTTGCAATAGCAGTCTTGGCTCTCAAGCGCCTGAATTTCTGAATGGTGTGAAATAGTGTTGTGTGAAGGTGTGAAAGTGTAGCTGCGGAAGCTTCAATTTTCAATTGCAACATTGAGTTGTCGTGTCTCTTACAGTCTAGAAGCTTGCGAAGACAGTGCAGGGGTCGCACACCTGCGAAAACTGCTGCATCTAAACGGCCTGGACTGAGCCCAGGTGCATCAGCTACGGTCGCTGGTCCCTCAGAAAGAGCAGAGTTGTGCTCAGACAGAACCTGCCCAGACCGGCGTGCATCGATTCCAGGCTTCACATCTCTGCTACCTCAAGCACTGATCTTTGTGAAGTGCTGATGTCTAGCAGAGCAGACATCGCTGCACGCACAGCAGATCGGGACTCCAGAGCAGAAACAAGAAGCAGTCATGGAAGGTTCACTTGTTTGCTTGACAGGGTTCATCTGGCAGGATACCCCGCTCCACTTTGCGAACTGTTTCCAGCAGCTGGACACCATCGAGCTGCTCTTGAAAGCAGGCGAGGCAGTTGGGCTCAAGACCTGCATGCGATGAGAAGAAACTGCGCCTCATGCCATATCCAATCCAGTCTTGAATATCGGGGCCAGAGACGTGCCAAAGCGCTTGATGATGACAATTGAGGGTTGCCTTCAGGCGCAGATGCCTCGGCCGCAAACAACTTCGGCGTGGTTCCGCTGCATGCAGCCCGACTGCTTATTTACAAGTAGCAGGGAATCCAACATCACAGCGCTGAACCCTTCGGGAAGTAGGCCTGGGGCGAGCTTGGTTTCTCATGCAACGTGAGGGAGTTAAATTTCAACACGGTCACTGGCTGCTGCGAGGAAGCCACTCAGAACTCGTTCTGCAAACTGCAAGCTGCAAATCACTGGCCGAACTCGAAGCACCTCAGCAAAGCTGCTTCTTGGCTGGTTTTTTCTCTAGACTTGTGTGAATGGGACAGGTAGCTGTGGCTTATGCGGGCCTTGAGCGACTCGAGTTGCGAGAGGCCGAAGCGATTTGCAGTTAGGTGCAAAGTGCAAAGCTCTCTCAGGTTTCACAGCATAGATCATGAATAGAGTGGTTTCAGGCTACTAACGTCAGCTCTGCGCTGGGCAGGCGAAGGCAACTCTGCTGCTTTGCGCCTATGGTGCCAAACTGGATGCCAGGCACAGTTCAGCTGCGCAAAACAAATCGCGAGGCTTAAAAATGCACAGAAGACACCTTCGTTTTGTCGAAGAAAGCACCTGGACACAGACTTCCTCCAAGATCTCTGGTTTTGGATTTACGGTCAGTGCGTCTCCAACGCGAGGGACCATCATGGCCACACGCCTGCGGCGGTGGCACGGATGGCAGGCAGCCCACGGCATGTGTGTGCATGTGTGTGAGAAGGGCTAGTAATAATAGTAGGAATAATAAAAATAACAATATTAACAACAGTACTAATAATATTAATAGTAATAATCGTGTGAGAAGGGCACTGTTCAAAGCCTTCCAAGCACTCGTCGGAGCCAGGCGCTCACAGTTCCTTGATCGACTTCCTCGAGTCTGCAAGTCTCCGTCTCAGAGGTGGAGTCCGCCCGGAGAACTGCGCTGCATCTAACGTAAGACAGACGAACTTCTCGGGGTATGGAGCAGATCTTCGCTACGAGCATAGTAGGAGGCGTCGAGGAGCAGGTGCCGGAAGATGGCAGCTGGAGGAAGTGCTGTCATCCTAGTATTGTCATCAATGTTTGTTTACCGTTGTTATTACATCCTCGCTGTTCTCATCCGTTCGTCCATCCATCCATCTATCTTCCTATTTTATGTGTGTATATGCATATGCATGTGCTTGCGTACGTACGTGCGTGTATATATAGATGCATATGTACATACATACATACATACATACATACATACATATATATATATATATATATGTATATACCCGCATACATAATATAGACTTCTATATATTTATTTATGTATATAGATGGATAGATAGATAGATAGATAGATGTTCTGTACATACATACATGCATACATGCATACATGCAGAGGTACATTATGAATTATGTATTTGCTGGCTCATTTGTTGATCTATCTATGTGTTCATTTGTACTTATATATTTGTCTATTAATTCGTTTATACAGTTTTCATGTTTATATTGTGTATTTATTTGCTTACATCTATCTATTTATCTACCTATCTATCTATCTATCTATGTCTCTCTCTCTCTCTCTATTATCTATCTATCTATCTATCTATCTACCTGTCTACCTATCTGTCTATGTCTCTGGCTCTCTCTCTCTCTCTCTCTCTGTACATATATATATATATATGCATATGCGTGTGTATGGGTGTGTGCACATGCTTGAACCTATGTATCTGCTCCACCGTTCTCGTCTTGAAGGAAGCGGACATATACCAGAACGCTGGTAATTGAATTCGAGGTACTTGGTATTTATACTGGTACATACCGCCACATGTGCTACCTGCACTGTCTGCATACCCTCCATACTGTGTCACCGGAGAATCTTGGCCCATCTCTTCTTGAAGTGCGAGAGTTCAGGACAGGTTCTTTACGTCTCATGGAAATCTTGTTTCATGCTAAGCAGCTTGTTAACACAGAACATCTTGTCAACAAAGTGCTTCCCGCTCCTCAAGTCCATTGTGCGGTTCACTGCCATGCATATCGGCCCGTCTTGCTACGGTCCCGGGGTGTTCTTTAGCCGCACCGGGTAGTTTATCGTAGAGGTCGTACAGACCCTTGCTATCAAAGACGGTCTATGCTTTACAACCTTGCTTCAAGCTCTGTTGGGGCCCTGGCGTGTCTGGGGGTTCACAAACCATCGCGAACACACAGACACAGGCAGGGGATAGATAAGTTTAGCTTATGAACCGCAACCCTGGTTTAATCTAGCTCGGTGTGCACAATCCGGGAAGCCAATAAATGATGAGAATCTGGGGTGCAGGGCCCGCGCGTTTGGGGCGCTAGATACTGTACCAACCATTCCACCTGCAGACCGTCAAGCCGACAAACGGCCAATCGGACATTCGGAAGGTTTGCCGGCTTACAAGTAATTCCTGCGACCTGGAGCAATTTTAAAATTTCAACAACTGCCAAAGTTCTAAATCAGGACTTTTGCTGTTGACACTGTTGCTTTGAAGGAAACGTTTCTTCTTGGCGAGCGTTCCATGCTCAACATTCAATTCAAGGAGGGCAGGTTTAGCAGGCCAAAGAGGGTGGATCCATGGAGGGGCTGCCACATACGAAGCTATACAACCCACACGTACATAAACAATACATATCTATATCTATATCTATATCTATATCTATATACTTTTCCTACGTGCAGACTATCTATATATATATATATATATATATGCATATATGTGCGAAGTCATATAGTTGTATATACATGTACATATACACATACGGAGGCTATCGTAGGTTACGTATATCATTCGCACTACTCTTGCTAGTAGTTGCAGCAGTAGTAGCAGTAGCAGCAAGAGGACAAGAATGGGGGCGCAGTTGCAGTACCAGTAGTGAAAGTGTACAAGTCGTTGTCGGCAGCGCTTTTCTTACTACTCAGCCCACACCGATATGCGAGGTGAGGACTATCAGGCGACTGCACAGGAGTTGCTGAATGCTGTGGACGAGGTGCCTCAGTGTGTGCAAAGACGCACATCCACGAAGTCTTGCGGTTGTCCCAAATGAGCATATGACATATGTTCCTGAGTCTTGCAGTCACTGTTTTCGGTTTGTTTTTGCCTGCAGTTGGTGTTGTGTTTCTCACGGGGCCGGTTCAATCACTTCATTGGAAATATGGGCTTCGTATGCTTCCAAAGGTATCTGAGCTTCGCACGAAATCCAGCTGCAGTTAAGTGGAGGGTTTCAGAGGGATTGCGTCGGCCTGGAGTCAGAGCCAGACGCCGGCACCATAGCCTTATCCGCCAGCGCCACCTCAAGCGCCAGCGCCCGCGCCAGCCAGCCCCCACCCCGGCCCTCGCGCCAGCCGGCGATCCCGATTCATCACAGTTCTTAAACCCACTCCCTCATTTGGCGATCCTGTTTCACCACCTATCTTAAGCATGCCCTCTCATGAGGCGATCCTGGTTGATCAACACCCCCCTCAATCCAGATTCTTCACATATCTTGAGCGATCCAGATTCAACACATTTCTTAAACCCACCTCTCACTAGGCCATCCTGCTTGATCACATATCCTAAACCCCTCAGCACATATCCTTACACCTGCTGTGCGACTTTGTCAGCTGGGCGGGTGGGAAAATATCCTAAGCCTGCCCCTTCATTCGGCGATCCAGGTTGGTCACATATCTTAAACTCGCCCTCTCCTTTGGCGATCCAGATTCATCACATGTCTTAGAGACGTGTCCCCTCATTATGCGATCCCGGTTGATCACATAGATTAAACCCGCCCTTAATTTGGCAATGCAGTTTGACCACGTATCTTAAACTCCGCCCCCCGGTTTCAGCGATGCCGGTTGATTTCATTTCATAAGCCCGCCCCCTCATTTGGCGATGCAGGTTGACCACATACCTTGAACCCACCCCCCTTTGGCGATGTCGGTTGATCGCATTTCTTACGTTAAACCCGCTCGATTCCGTGTCACTACGTTCTTATCTTAAGCACCCCCCTCAGGCGATCCCGGTTGATCACAGTTTTTTAAATTGACCCCTCCTTCGGCGATCCCGTTTCATCACATACCTTAATCCCGCCCTCTGGGTTGGCGATCCATGCCGATCACATTTCTTAAACCCGCCCCGTCATTTGGCAATCCAGGTTGATCACATTTCTTAAACCTCCCCCCGCATGTGGCGATCCCGATTCGTCTCACATCTTAAACTTGCTTCTCATTGGGCGATCCGGTTGATCACATCTTACACTCGCCCCCTCATTCGGCGATGCAGGTTGCTCACATATTGTTAACCCTCATGACAGGCGATCCCGGCTGATTGCATTTCTTCAACCCGCCCCCTCATTTGACGATCCCGGTTGATTACATTTCTTAAACCCGCTCCCGCATTTGGCGATCCCGTTTCAACACATATCTTAAGCACGCCTCCTCAGGCGATCCCGGTTGATCACATTTCTCAAATCCACCCCGTCACTTCACGATCCCGACTCATCAACCATCTTAAACACGCCCCCTCGTTAGGCGATCCCGGTTGATCACATTTCTTGAACCCGCTCCCTCAATCCAGACATGTTTTGAGCTCGCCCCCTCCTATGGCGATCACGATTGGTCATATTTCTTACACCCGCCCACTCATTCTAGGCGGTCCCGATTGAACTCGTATCTCCTCATTTTGCCATCCCGGTTGAGTTCAACCCACAGCGCCAGCACCAGCGCCAACGCCCGCCAGACCTTCCCAAAAAAAGCGCAAGCACAGTGCCAGCGCCAGCGCGCCTTCCCCCGCGCAAGCAGCGCCAGCGCCAGCCCCAGCCGAGCGCCAGCGCCAGTGTCAGCATACCCTTGCCGGGTTACTATGTTGTCCATGGCGAACGTAGGAGACAGGCAGAGCCTTTTCAACAATCCAGTTCCGAATGTGTTGGCAACTTGTCCGAGGGAGCCCAGTCCGAGCCAGGAGGCGGAAGACTTCGCCTCCAGCTCCCTAGCGCTGAAGGCTCTCTCAGCTTTTTTCTGAGTTTTGCAGAAGCCTCGAGCGATTTCGGTTGCGACCGGACAGGCCATGCAGAGCGAGAAAACCGCAGGCTCCGAGGGTTGGGGGAGCCGACAGCGATTTAGCCGCTGCCACAACACACAGACCTTATCACGTCGTTCTGTCTAGGGTTGTCAAAGTTCACGACGTCCTCTCCAGGAAGTGAGGGATGGGCGCCGCCGTCCCCCAGCGTGGCAAGGGCGAGAGCGAACTCGCTCTGAGCTCAGAACCAGTGATTTTCATCTTGACATTGCGATGAATGCGATGTCTGCATAGAACAGAGTAAGAGGGGACATGGAACGAGAACTCGAGCCTGCGCAAGAAGCCACAGAGTGCCAGGTATGCGGGACAAGATATGCAGCTGACGGAGGACGCCAGCTGGGAGAGCTTCCTGTGAAAGCGATGCCGCAGCATGTGAGCATTGAATCTAGAGGATTGTGTGAGTTGGCATAATCTATGAATCGAGTTTGAGGTAGATAGCAATCATTCCCCGAAGATTTGGCGATGGCTCCGCGAAGGAATGCAAAATCCTGCGAAAGTTTTTGCATGAAAGATTTTGGGCATTCAAGACTTATAGAGAATATGCCATCATTCTGAAAACGACAAGTCCCAAACCCTTTGTTGCGCAATGCCGCAGCAAGCTGCAGCGAGGTGCCAAAATCAGGTTCCGGTACAGCGAGCACGGCGGCGAAGAGGTGGGCGGTGGGGGCGGCGAGACGGTGGAGGGGAGCGGAGGTGGTTTCGCAGGGAACGAGAAGACTACCAAGCACATAAACGAGGGAAACGGAGGAGAGTGGAATATCAAGGCCTTGGGAGAGGGTGTGGACAGTCTGGGGAGGGGGCGGGTTGAAGCCAGGGGTTGGTGAGCGACGAAAAGACTATTGCTTATATTCGTAAGAAACCAAGTACGCAGGGGAAGGGGGGGGGGGTGCACCAAAAGACTTCAAGATGTCGCGAAGAGCCCGTTACCAGAAGAAGTAATGTTGATCAACCCGCATGTCTCTGTGGCACGGTTGATCTTACCTGTTGCCGCTGGACTTTCAGCAAGTCTCAGCAGGAATGAAGGTGAGTTTGGCCTCATGTGAAATATGCAGTGACTTGCTGTGAAGGAATGCCCCGGCAGGAGAACTCGCGCCTGTCACAGGAGACCAAGCGGCTTCAGAAGGAGCTTGATGAGCACCTTCGGCAGCACATGGACTGGACCCGGCCAGAACTCAGATCCCTTCTGTGCTCAGGGCTCGGGCGAACATCCGGCACCTTCAAGGACACTTCTGCGACGTATTGAGACGTGCTCCGTCGTGCTGCCCAAGATGGCTGACTTGTGGCGGCGCTGCTCAGGACTGCTCGACCAGAGCAGGTCAACCATGGAGCGGCTGAAAAGCGCAGACCCCGGAGAGCAAAGCCAGATACTGCAGCTCACAGCAGATTCGCCCCGTCGAGTTCTGACTCTGACGGATTCCTGTCAGAATCAGAATGCATGCATCGGGGCTACAGCTCCCAGGCACCCGCCTCAGCGTCTCGGAGGCTCCCGGAGCAGGGGCCGCGATCCCAGAGCGAAGCGCCTGCACGGTGGGCGCCTTGCGGTTGTCCGGCCTTGTTCCAGGCATTCCAGGCCGTCCGCGACGACATGGAGAAGGACCGAGGCGAATCGGCGCAAGATGCAGCGTCTTCTTATGCGTTTTGAAGGAGATGGGCGAGCTCCGGCAGCGACAAGAGGATCTGGGCTTCGACCCGAGTGCTATCAAGTGGTACTTGAGAAATTGTGAGCGCAAGGCCCCTGAGACCAATCCACCAATGTGAGGTCCTGGCAGGTCAAGCCGAGTAGCACAGCTGAGGTAGAGATCGGGATAGCTGGCTGCAGGACCGCTGGAACCGGAGTTCACGGTCACAAGTCAGGAAGGCGGCATCTAAAAGCGCATAGCGCCAGCGCCTGCCCAGGAGCGAGAGTCCTTGCTCCGGCAACTGGAGGAGGCGGCCGAGAAGCAGGAACGAGCCGAGGCCGGCGCCGGCGCGGATTCGGATTCGAAAAGTGGAGCCGCAACTTTGCAAGAAAAGGCCACCGTGAAGCGCATCACGGCAGAGCGCAACGAAGCCTTGGAGCGAACTGCGGTCAAGGAGTCGAACGTGATGCGGTCTTTCGGGGAAAAGCAAAGGGAAGTCACTGAGCTGTAGCTGCTGTTGGACCTTGCAGGGATGCTCCAGACACCAGAGCATGTTCCGAGCTCCTGTCCTGGAATCCAGGACGTCTCAAGGCCGTCTTCGGCGGTCACCCGACAGGCCAGATGACCGGTGCAGAGGGAGGTCCGAGAGATGACAGTCGCGACTCTTCGTGGTTAGCCAGAGCCAGAACCCGACCTTGCAGAGTGTCCCTTGGCAATCATCTGAACTCCCGCCGATTTCTCTGGCTTTTGCCGACAGGCTGCCGAACAAGCGGCCGCGCAAGATGCTCCGAACTTGGTGGGTGAAGCAGTGTTCGACTGTGATTACGCACGCTGAAAGCCCATAGCCGTCGTGGAAAAGGTGGCTTCAGGTCGGCATTCATCGAAAGTGGTCGTAAGCAATTGTACCGACGCCAACCTGATCTTTCACGGCTGGCAAGGCTGCGCTCTTTGCCAAAGAAGAAGCCCTGAGTCAGAAGGCTCGCAGTGCCCACACCATGCACACGATGTAAATAGCATCTGCTGCTGCTTGTTTAGCAGTTTAGCAATTTAGCGCGGTTCAACTAGGCCTCAGCGGCTTCTGTTGCCTCTTGGACCAGGATGCAGAGCTGCAAGCAAAAGCGCAAGCTGAGCAAGAGGCCGCGAAAAGTGAATGCAGCATCTTGCAACCCGTGGCTCTTGAAGTCCTTCAGAGGCCCTGGAGGCCCTGCAAGCCAAAGATGCTGAGCTTGAACGTTCGGCCCTCGTCAGAATGTCATCTTGTGGTGTTGAGATCAAGAGAAAAACTCCAATGCTCCGAGGCCTCACCACTGAATTGCAAGCGATGAAGTCTCAAGCGGACCGCTCCGGCAAAGATCTGGAGGACGTTGCCTTGCCCCCTGTCCTGCCATTCTCCTTCAGTTTTCTTCAGCCTTCAGGAGAGATCCGCCGAGCTGTCTCAAAAAGAGGCAGCGAAGTCGCACTGGTAGAACGTCTTGAAGCCGCCAAGGGGCCAAGCATCGTTGTGCGTCTCCAGGCCGACGTGCTGAGCCGCAAGGCTGAGGTGCAGCGCCTGAACGGCGAGCTCGAGCGGCAGGCGAGTCGGGTTTGGCCTGAGGGAAGTTGCCTTCCGACCCATTCGACCACAGGCGAGTGAGAAGGAAGAGATGTGGACTCTTGGCCGCAAGCTCTCAGGGGCACAGAACTCAAGACACCAACTTCGGAAGGTCACAAGGTTGGAAGAGCTTTCTACCATCCTGCGACATCTTGCATATGTCATTCGTTCAGCGCGGCTGTCCTCGGCTGCCGTACAAGTAATATCCGTGTCCTGTGCACCCTTGCTTGGTGGTGCGCTACCAGCTTTATTTCAGGCGCGTGGGAGCTGCAGACTGATCCGCGAACGCCATGTCTCAAGTTATTCTCGTTGGCCAATGTCCCGTTTGTAGCACGATTCGATCTTCAGTGCTCGGTCATGTCAGCCTAAGAGCATCCCACTGTTCCCTTGCACACATCCGACTCGTCTACTTCACTGCATGGCTCTCCCCGATTTGGAGACTCGCACAACCCTGGTCTTTCTGCAGAGAGATGGAGCTTAGGAAGAACCTCACTGAGCTACGAGCGCAGCATAAGGAGCGCTTGGGAACTTCCAGTGGTCTCGACGATGTTTGCCTCGTTTGTGGCAGTTAAGACATGCGGTAGCACAGCGCAGGAGCTCAGGGAGCAGCAGAGCAAGACCAGCCAAGAGCCCCTCACTTGAAGCCTCGTATCAAGCGACTTCTTTGGCTTCGAGTGCGCTCCCGCCTGCGACATACGCAACAAGCTGCGCTCAGGCTCGGAGCCGTGCAAATGCAGCTGCAGGAGAGGGAGGTGGAATGGTGGGCTCTTTCATATACATGACGATGAGCTGCTTCTTAAGTGCGCATGCCTACAGTTGGCGCCAGTTCATCCGAAGTCTCTTCCGCTATGGTCAGGTGGAGCTGGAAGGTCAGTTGAAGGAGAAGGACCAGACAAAGCTAGCCGAAAGAAGAGGATGACATGCACCGAAATGCACCTTTGTCCCAGGAGCTCACCATCCAAAAGCTCGAGGAAGATGCAGAGCAGTTGACCGGCCAGGCTCAGTCCTCGGAGCACAGCACGGTGCCGCGTCTGCGTCCGGGCACGTTTCGAGGTGGCGGAGCTCAGCGGCGTGCGGGAACGGGCAGAGCAGGCAGAGAAGATGCCCGGCGCTCCTGAGCTCTCCGCTCGTGGCGCTGCTCGGCGGCGTTGTGTGATCCTAGGCTTGAGCCTTGGAAGAAGCGGACCGAAGAAGTTCATGAAGCCTTCCAGAAGGAGATGCAGTAGTCTAGTAGTGCGCCTTCAACTCAGCTCAGCCAGAGATCAGAGAGATTTCCGAAGTCCAGCAGCTTGCAGGAGCAGGCGCTTCGAAAGCGCTACCACAATCAGATGCAGGCAAAGTGGCAAGGAGCATCAAGAGACACGCCTCACGTTCTAATCCTGCAGGACATGAAAGGTGCCATTCGTGTCTTCGCAAGAATACGCACCTCGGAACCTTGAAACAGTCCGAAGCAGGAGTTGAGATCAGGTTGAGATGTCTCTTCGCCTATGCTTTCTGGGTTCATGGCAAGGTCCCAAAGTTTCCCGAGAAGCTGACCAAGAGGTAGGGCGCATGGGCTGGGTAGCCTTATGCGGCTTGAGGTTTGTCCAGAGCTTCTTAAGGTCTCGAGTCTTGCATGCTAGCGCAGACAACCGAAACCTGTTGCCTGCAGATCTCCGTCTGGAGACGGGATGCCTTTTCGCTGGAATGTGCCGCGAAAGACAAGAAGTCGACTGCGAAGGATGGACCTAGTGCTGTCAAGCTTAACTTCTCGAGCACGAATGTGTTTTGGTTGGTCACAGATATGATGCTGGCAGGACTACAACTTCGACGCTGTCTTTGATGAGCTCCTCCGGCTAGATTTCATGTCCTTTTTGCTCACAGCTTGGAGTCGGGATCTAATGCCGAAACGGAAGGACATGATTGAATGGAGCGTGTCCATTAGTGGTTCGGCTGTAGAGAACCCTTGGGGGTTCGAAGTCCCCTCGGCAGACTGCGTCGACGAGCCCTGGCCAGGCACAACAGCCAAGAGGACGTCTTCGCTGACTGCCGTGGATTGATCGGCTCGGCCGTCGACGGCTTCAATGTCACGGTGCCCTGGCCTCGGCATGCCTCGGCCCGACCCCAACTGGCGCTCTTCCGTTTCTCGCTCGATTCAGGTTCGCCTACGGCCAAACTGGTGCCGGGAAGACCCACACCATGTGCCCCAACCGCTCAAGCTTAGCACTTTCTTGACCTTTGCCCATAGAAGGTACGGGAACGAGGTCCGAAGCTCGTGCTCAAGCTTCAAGTACAACGTGATCACATACTGTTCCTCACAGGCCATGCCTGGGTTGGTTCCACGGGCCGCAGAGGACAGAACGTACGAGGTACACTTAATCGAACCCTTTGCCACAATGTGGCAGTTCAGTTCAACCTCCAGTCATTGAACCGATCCAGGCCCAGGCGTGCATGGAGCCCGCTTGCGGCATGCGACAACTGAACTTCTAAAGGTGTTTAAATGGAGAAGGCAGGCGAGGCGAGACAAGAAAGCTGTCCAACGAGTCTTGTTTCCTGATCGCCGAGCCCTGACATGAGGAGCTTTTCGCGGTGTTAGGTGCCGCCCTCAGACATAAAGCCACGTTCCTGTGTCGTGCATCTGGCTGATAATGCTGTAGCCTTGAGCGCTCCTTGGGTAGGAGAGATGTAAGCTTTGCTAGATTCTGAGCGGAGTTGTTCAGCCTTTGAACTCAGGGGCTTTTGGATTCCGGAAGCATTCAGAAGCATAGAAATATCCGAGAGCACAACATGTCCCAGCTTAAACAGCAGCGCAGAAGCGCGGGATGAGGAAGCAGGTTTGCAGGTAAACACCGAAGTACAGTACACAATATGATAAATAGCAACTGCCGGTATCGGATGGGAGAATTATTTACACTTCCATTGTGCTCTTCCTTGAGGACGTTATGCCCACGAATGCGAGTCGAAAGTCCTTTGCTCGATGTTTGAGCTGGGACCCGAGCTACGTATGCACCAGCATTTCTCTCGCCCAAGTCGGCTCCCTCTTGCTCTTGCAGTCGCACAGCGAAGAGGGATGGGCGAAATTGTGCCTTGCTCCGGAACCGCAGCTGAAGGCTCTATCGTGACGACTTAGTTGACCTCCTCTTCACGAAAGCCAAGGCGCGGCGGATCGCTTCGACTTGCTGAGCGAGGGATGCAGGGAGGGCCGGAGTCAGCAGCGAAAATGTTCCCTCCCGCCCGCGCTTGGGCTGGAGTTGGGCGCTTGGCAAGACAGCCTCGTCAGACAGGTCCTAATCCCAAGCCTGCTGACGGACAGAGTTTGGGCATGGAGTCATAAGTGTCCCTGTTGCTTCAGGGCAAAGCCCCTCCGGTCCTGGACATAAAGAAGGATCCGAGGGGGACGGTGAAGGTGCCGCCACAATTTACCGTTGCTGTTGCGAGGCCTTGTTCGTTTCTATTTGCTCTCAGGTGGAGAATGCTGTCGAAATCCAGGCACCTACTGACAAACTGTTCGCAGTCCCCGAACGGTTTGTGAATAGCAGGTGACCAATCCCGACGAGCTGCAGAAGACGATCAGCACGGGCATGGACCGGCGGCATGTAGTGCCCCGAGTACAAAAAGTAGAAGTCATGCCACGGCACGGCTGGTCAAGAGTTGTAACAGAGGCTTGGACAGCAGAGCCCAGGTCGCGGCCACGAAGATGAATGCAGACTCCTCCCGGTGACTCGCAAATGGGAGACAGTACTGTATTGCAGCTCGTGAATGCGGCGCTGTTGAGGGGTTGTGCTAGCCGACAGGAGAAATTGGGGCCGACATACAGGCAAAACGGAGGGCCTTTTTTTGTCATTATTATTTATTTGCTTCTTTTGCCTTGTTTCTCGTCTTTGGTCTCGATGTTAGTATTCATATCCAAATAATACGAATATTGTATTTTTAATACTATTGATATTAGGATGAATAGTACGAATAACTATATATATATATATATATCAGTATTAATACCAATATTATATATACCAATACACATATACATATTTGTATTTTAGTAATATTGATATTGATACTGATACTAACATGGTTCAATGTTAGTACTCATGTAGAAATAATACGAATATTAGTATTTAAACGTTATGAGTATTACCATTTACCATTAGTATACATATTTAATTTAATATGAAAATTGCAATTAATATGAATATTATGATTAGTATTCATACTAACAGTAAGGATAACTATATATATATATTATTACCACTATGAATACTTATGGTAATATTCATATTAATATAGATTTTAATATTAATAGTAGTGGTAATGTTGATCTTGATGTTATTAACAATCTGAAGCATTAGTACTAAACTTACATATCACTAGTTACGTAGTATTAATATGTAACTTCAACATCAATATTGGTATCAATATTAATATAGAGTATATGTGTGAATATATACATATATATATATATATCATTGCTATTAACTTTCATATGAAATAATGCTAACATTAATATTAATGTTAGCATACTATGAATATCTCAATATGAATACGGGTGGGTGCCGCGACCCCACCATCTATACGTCCCTGTCCGAAATATGTCAAGCTGCATATCGTGTATTTATGCAGTACGTAACAGTACATATATATATATATACATACATACATATATATATATATATATTTGTTTATTTATTTATACACAAACATGTAGCACATCTACCAGTATGTAACGCATATAAGGTATATCTGTCGTGCAGACCTCATATCTCCGAGCTGCCACTATAACATTACTATTGATATTCATACGAATGCTAACATTAATATTAATGCGAATATACTATTAGAACTTGAATGTGAATATTCAGCAGGGGTGGGTGCCGCGACCACACCATCCATATGTTCCTATCCGAAATATGTCAAGCTGCATATGGTGTATTTGTGCAGTATGTAACAATATACATATATATATACACCCACATACATACATATATATATATATGTATATACAAACATACATGCAGCACATCTACCAGTATGTAACACATATAAGGTATATCTGTCGTCCAGACCTCATATCTCCGAGCTGCCACTATAACATTACTACTGATATTCATACGAATGCTAACATTACTATTAATGCGAATATACTATTAAAACTTGAATGTGAATATTCAGCAGGGGTGGGTGCCGCGACCACAACATCTATATGTTCCTATCCGAAATATGTCAAGCTGCATATGGTGTATTTGTGCAGTATGTAACAAGATATACATATATATATATATACAAACATACATGTAGCACATCTACCAGTATGTAAAGCATACACGGTATAGCTGTCGTGCAGACCTCATATCTCCGAGCTGCCACTAGCAGGGGAGGCGCCGTGGTAGGAAGACCCCAGTCCCAGCCCAAAAAAACAAAAATGGCGGCAGGAGCAGAGAAATAATGTGCACGGAAGTTCCCTGGCCGGAAAAACCCTCCGACAGCCAGATCCCACTGTTTTTGCACACAAGACAGCCGAACTGCAGGGTGGGCTCTCCGAGATGAGAAACAAGCAGACATAAAGGCTGTTAAAGTCGCGGACAACGCATGCAAGAAATGATTTCTCCGAAAACTCAGAGAAGATTGAAAAGGCTTCATTTGCATTGTGGGGGTTCCCAGGCATTCGGGAATTGCGCTTAAGAGTATAAGGCAAAGAGCCAAGAACACAGAGGAGGGGAAGCTAACGAATACATAGTAAAGGGTGAAGAGTAGGAAGCACAAACAGTAAGTACGACATTAAAACTGAGGATATATTATGTAAAGAAGTAGACCAAATATTGTAGTACAGCGTGCAGAGCTGTTCTTCAGAGCTTTGCCTGCATGTTGCCGCCACTTTGTGCAAAGAGCTGTTTAAGGTCGATAATACCCTCTGTCGAGCGACATTGCTCGTTGTAGATCTCTGCCGGTCAGAATCCAGTATGTAGGTCGTAAAATCATATTCAGATTTCAGGTCCCATTTGATCTTCATCGTCACCATTGAGTCTGTAAACAAGAAGTCGAAGCAGGAGGGGCATGCAATGGCGGACAGTGTATGCTTGATGGTTCCGAGCTCTTGCTCAAGCATGAAGTTGTTCGTTCAAAGAACAACTCGACCCATGAGGTTGTGTCGCTGCTTATCTGGTCCATGTATTTGGGGCATTTCCCGTGCAGGTCTCCACCGGCAAGCTGACTCTTTGCGATCTGGCAGGCCGAAATAGTCTTAAGTTCGGGAAGGCATCTTGTGAGGATGTTGAATTTGACCGTACGTGACAGAGGCATCTTGCCTGGGAGTTTGACAGACTTTGCATTCGGCACCAGGGTCCTTGCAGCCTCGTCCCAGCCGGTCCCAGCTCTCTGCCACCCAGAGTCTGGGAATTCTGACTAAACTGCGAGAGGTAAGAGGCTTGGGGTCATGGGGCAGACCAGAGCACTGCGAAACATGTGCCATGGACGTTATCATGGACCAAGAATTGGGGTTAACGGTACGATGACCTCCTAGTCTTACCATCGGCATGTCCGGTACAGTAGAGACTGGAAGTCGTTACAAATGCGCCTCTGCTCGCACCTTGCGAGACACGAAGAGTCCTTGAGTTCTGTGTCAATGGCAGAAAATCAAAGGAACCGAACCGCCAGCGGCCATGCTTCCCTCAGAACCCTGAGAAATGGTTGTCTCATGGAGGGCCTCTCGACTCCATGCGAACCTCGAAAGGCCGAATGCCGGCAGCCTCGGCGCTGAGAGGTGATCGCCACCCCAAATCCCGGAAAGACGACACGGCCGGCGGGCAAAACGGACCGCCAAGTTCCTCCAAGAATCTTTGGCCAGAAGCTACTCGGAGAGCTCACGACGTCTCGACTGCCAAGCTGCAGATGACTAATTCATGGGTGCACTGGGCAGCTGAGAAGCGCCAAGAGCCACGCCTACTTAAACATGCATTGAGTCCGTCTCAGCACGGTCGCCGAATCTCCATCAAGTCTGTATATGCATGGCTATTCACTTAATTCGCTCAGCCGCACATCACAACCCGCCTGGTGCCAGGCTCCGAGCGGCTGAAGAAGAGCGAGGTGACAGGCGAACAGATGAAGGAGGCCTTGTTTTATCAGGGGAGACTCCGAAAAGCGAGAAGTCTGTGCCCTGCCCAGAAGCATTGGGGATCCGAAAAATCGAGAGTGTCTGTCTTTCGAGCAGAGATGTTGAGAAGAGCAGGCGGCTTCTGCTCTCCTCATAGCTCTCTCGATTGCAGTCGCCGGTGCAGGCTCAGTCCATCAACAAGTCGCCCGAGTCCCGGACATCTTGGGCAGTGATTGATGCTGGCAAGCCCTCGCTTCCCGTTAAAGCCAAGAGAGCCACTGCCTTCGGCAGGTTGACGGCACTTGGCGATGTCATCGAGGCAGGTGCCAGACTGGATTCATGCACTCCGAAGGTCCAGCTCGAAGATGGGAACACGAGCAATAGTTGCACCCCCCCGAAGGCGCTCACGAAGCAAGCCAAGCACGTGCCCTACCGAAACCATCGGCTCACGTCAGAGCCTCAGAAATCAAAGTTGATACCTGCGTACACATATCCATACATCTGGCCACATGATCCAGGTGACCTCGCAGGATCCAGATCACGTGAACAGAGGGCAGAATGTTGTTACAGTCTCCGCAAGCTCTAAGGCAGCTGCTCAGCGATTCACTAGGCGGCAACGCCAAGACGCTGGCGGGACGCTCAGTTGCCATGAAGGGTGCTTGCGAATTCTTGATACATGCAGATGTTCGTCAACTGCTCGCCGGCCTCCGGAAACCTCGATGAGACTGGTGCAGCGTGCCGACCCCGGTCAGCACAGTGTCGGATAAGCTGGGTGCCGGTGCGGCCGCAACAGTGTTTCTTCATCCTTGAATTCCCTTAAAGAGCCAGAGCGTAATCGGGTGTGGCCTTCAGCAACAATGCTACGCTAGGAAGGCCCAGAGGTCGTCTGCGTTTCTGGGCAAAGGTTGGCCTATGCCGTTAGGGCCAAGAACATCGTCAACAAGGTGGGACACTTCGTCCTGTACATTAAGTTTGATGACTACCACGGATGGCCGAAGGCGAAGGCAGTGCTGTGAGATCCTACTGGCAGGTGGAAAAGAATTCTGACAGCCAGGAAGTGGCACGTCTGAAGAAGGCAGGGACGCGGAAAAAAATCTAAGAGAGAAGATGCAGGTTGTACATGGTTGTACACAGGTCTTGACACACTGAACTTGTGATTTTTGCGGGAAGCCAATGTGCCATCAAACGAGTGAATCGTCTCGACTCGAAAGATCCGAGATCCGAAGCCGCAAAAGACCTAATTAAGGCACCAGGCCTAACCAGGCCAAGCATGTCTCAGCGATGCCGAGCATTTTTGCATCGCTTCCGGGAGGGAGGGCTCGTTTCAGATGACGAGGAGCTGGAAGAGCACGCACCCCGTGAGAATTCTGAAGCAGCACTATGAATTCTGAGTAGTGAAGGTTGTGTCTTGGACGACGCTTACAGATGTTGGCGCTGCCTTTCCGCGAATCCTCTGCAGCAAAAGCCAACGAACTCTTCGTTGGAGCAAGGCCCCAAGGCAGGATCGGGCTTCTCAGGTGGAGAGTCTTCTGCCGAGGCCACAAGATATCGGCTTTGACAGCACTCCAGGCAGTGTCTACAGGGGCTCTGAGCTGCGTGCGTTTATTGATCGAAGCCGGTGCAGATGTGGAGAAGGCAGAAAGGGATCAAGCACCTCCACTCACTGCTGCTTGCAGTCATGGGGATGTGGAAGTCACTCGGTTGCTTTTACATGCTCACGCAGACATTGACCGGAGCCAGATCGATGGCACCACTCAATTACCTTGCAGCATGTTACAAAGGTCGAGAGAGAGTCGCACGCTTGTTGCTGGAGTTTGGGGCCAACCAAAATGCGTGGCGCAAGACCGATCTGTCGACTGCTCTCTACTCTACTCAGCTCGTGCAAAAGGCTACCGGCAAATTGCGAGATTGCTCCTTCATTGCGGGGTGAACATAGGTGCTGCGGACATTGACGGGAACACTCCGCTTGCAGTGGCTTCTCAAGAGGGCCCAAAAGGGGTATCCAGAGGTCGTTCGGCTGCTGCTAGACGCTGGTGCAGACAAGAAAAAAAGTCGCGTAAAGGATGCTGCAACACCACTCTTCCTAGCCTGTGTGAACGGTTACACCAAGACTGCACGCCGGTTGCTCAGCTCTTGCGCCAATGCAGGCTGCACACCGTTACATGATGTCTGCACGAGTGGGAGCTGATGTGGAAATGGCCCGCCAAGACGGCATGACGTCGCTCCATGTTGCCTCGCAGAAAAGCCATTTGGCAGCTGCAGGCTTGTTATTGGAAGCCGGCGCGGACATAGAATAGATCAGCTGTTGCTGGACTTCGGTGCCCACAAAGGTATCGCACGCACAAGGAAGGGCCGAAGGTTTCGAAGGGGTCGACCGTTCGCCGTCGCTGTGGTGCAACGGCACCTGACAGCACCTATCGACATGCAGCGGCCTGTGTGCCCCGGACACATTTAGTCGTTGACAGCAGACAGTTTGGTGTCCACTGCTCGGAACAGGTGGTGCAGTTGCTGAGCTCTGAACTCGAGGAGGCTTGGAGCAGAGATAGACCCTTTGAAGAGCTTTGCATTCACATGTTTGTTGTGTTGCTGGGTCTCATATGATGCGGTTCAGCCAAGACGGTAACTAGCAGCGTTTCTCACGTTGCAGCTCATTCTAAATGTCACCGGGGTCTCAGGTAGAGGAGCTTCAAAATTTCGCTTGCCATTCCACACCCTGGAGTCGTCGTCAGGCGAGGAAGAAAGCCGGAGATGCCCCACTGCCCAAACTGGGAGACGGCAATGCAGAGGAGGACAGGTGAATGGTTCGACTCGAAGTTACAAGACTTGCTTGCAGGGCGAGGTCTGGCGGCTTTCGGACAGAGCGACACGGCAACCCGCACGTCTGTAGACATGGAACCACTTCCCAGTCTTCAAATTCCTGTTTTAGAGAGTGGTCAGAGCTTGGGTTGGATTTTCGATAATATGTGTATGCGTATGCATGTATATATATATATATACACGCGCACACACGCGCACACCCCTAGCTCTCACCCCAAATACCCACGCGGGGGAGGGGGGAACCAAAGCAGCATCTACTCCCAGCAACATGATCTACCCCCACCAATGCCATATCCACAACCAAGCTGGGGAGGGGTAGGCGGGAAGCTGATCCCTGATCCTACATCTACCTTGATTGGAGTTGTGCTTGGCCTGGCAGAAGCAAGCTGCATTGCTGCCACCTCCAGATTAAGATAGGCGTCACAGGATCTCTGTCACTGCATGTCAGCACGCAAGCATTGCCGAGGCGAGCACCCAGCTGATCCGCACCGAACGTAAGCAGCTGCAAGCCAACTGCAGAAAACCGCTTCTGTGATTACATAGGAAGCCATTGTTCTTCCATTCATTTGTCACTCGTCCTTGTCTCGCTGCGCCAGGAAAGTCCTCAGGCTGGTTGAGAGCGGCTTTCGGGCCCCGCGTAGAACGAAGTGCTGTAAAGCGCTACAAATCTGCAGTCGCCAGCTGTTGAATCTACGACATGCATTCGCATGACTACTCGTTTGTTTGACTGTGTTTGCTGCAGCTGGTGTAGGCTTAGGCGAATTCATCCGCATGCTGTTAATGCGTTTCACTTGGGCAGCCCAAGGTAATCACGTGGACTGGCTAAGCATTTAGGGGACTGTTGCCTGCAAAGCAGGTCAACAAGCCACGCAAACACTAGCTACTCACTGGCGAGTCCAAGGCTCGGGCCCCCAAATACTGGCGTGCATGCAATGTTCTGTTTCTGCGCAGTCCTTTGCACCTTGCCAGGAACCATTCCCTTACCGCGTTTCATTCATCATTCATCTGTACCAGCAGGCCTATGAATCTTCCTTGCTGGCAACGTTCCCAGTTCTGGTTCAAAGCACAAGTAGAGGCCCAGGCCTATGCCGAGATGGCACACCTCTTCACAATCTCTTGGTTTCGCCCACGGGCTATTGCAAGCAGAGTCGCAGCACCAGAATCTAGAAGAAGTGGTTGCAGATGGAGCGGCATTCGCATCATCACATTGGTTTCATGGCACTCCTAATTCCCATCGTGTAACCCCTGCATTCACTCTGGAGTAGAACTGACGCCATGAAGCGTGGTGTCTTCTTCGATTTCGATTCCACCATGTAGCTTCGAAGCGTTACAACACTCGGGGGGAGGGGAAACTTGTTTGCGAGCTATAGCTAGCTAGCCGCTAGCAAGCATGCTAAAGGCCAAGAGCCCCCAGTTTCGCCAAGGACAACACCAATCAAGCTGCCACGATTCCATCGGCAGCTTGGTCAGACCATGTCACACCATGGGTTTTCTTGATGCACGTAACATCGACATGTGTGAACGCATGTGGTGCGCTCAGAGGCATGCAGTGGCTGATAGCCCCGAGATCTTCGTGTCCATGACCCCACAGGCCAGCGCCACTCTCAAAAAGAGTCCCTCAACGCCTAATGTGTTGTGCAGATGCAAACACGTGAAATCCAAGACGTCCTAGATATGTAGATATATAATATATGTATGTATACAGGGTGTATATATAAATATACACACAGAAATTATGTCATTTTTATGTGTGCGCGTGTGTGCTCACAAGCCCCCCCCCGAGCTTAAGGGTAAAATAGCGTCCAAAAATCGATTTGTATCTCGAACCTGTCGTTCTGTTAGTAGTTTATTCAACCGTGGCATGTGTAAGACCTGCAGCTCTGTTCGGTTAACATAATGCATTTAGTTTCAGTGGAGAGCAAGTCTTTATGCGCTAAATTTCCAAATACAGACCTAGATTTTAACCTGTGCTTGAAGACGTTACCACTACTATGGGAAGACCAGTTCATCGATTGTTTTCGTCTGGCCATTAAGCACGGAACTTTCCCTTCTGTCTACAGTTGAAGACGTTACACTGGTTTGAACTACATACTTCGTAAGATAAATATATTGTAAGACCTCTACTTATGCGCGCTTTATGTTTGCACGCGGGGGCCTGCAACTGTTGTATTTTCATGCGTGGCATGGCCTTCACGGGTAGAGCTTTGATCAGTGCCGTCACAGCAATTCAGAACAGAGTTCCAACATACCTGATTGTTTACTGGTCATAACTTGCTAGGTGTAACATGTGTACAACGATTTCGCAAAAAAAGGCACAACTCAAAGTTCGACCAACGGAGGAAAGGACATGACTTGCTGTAACTGATGCACAGACTTGATAGGCTAAACTCAAGACAAGATATCAAGAACCAACCTGGCGTTATTCAAAGCTTAATAAGCAGCCACATGCTACGTAATGTTTGGTTTTCAAAAACGACTTTCCTCCAGGTGGGAAACACATGTGTTACTGGATTAGCCCATCGTTCTATCACAGCACGGGCTGGCAGTTACGTATTTATCAGCTTGTGAATAAGCATATGGGAGTTAATGCTTTCGTGCTTTTCGGCCTTGATAAGGCCGGAACCCCCGCGCCTTGATAAAGCCAAAATCCCGCACTCCCCAGCGCGGCCGGTCGCCGGTCGAACACGACGCCGGGAAGTCCAGGTTTTCGAGCCTTTCGCCGTTAATCAGGCCGGAATCCTCTGGACTCTCCCGACGCGGGGGAGTCCAGGTATTAAGGCCGGAATGCTGGACTCCCCCACGCGGCCGGTCGCGGTCGCACACGACGTGGGGGAGTCCAGGTTTTCGCGCCCTGCCCTACCCTGTCCCTGCGGCATGAACAAGCTGAAATAAACGGAGAAAACCATGGCCTGCAGGCCGGTTTGGCAGGGGGGTTCAGATCTCTTCGAAGAGTGGTCTCATGCTGGGGGTTGAAGCCATCGAATGCAGACCGAAAAATAACGAACATCAACGCCTGGCATTTTCTGCTGATCTTTGCTTGTTTTGTGTTTTTCGTCTTCGTTTGAGTGACCAAAGCCAGACGAAGCAGGACTTGAGTCCCGAACCCACGCCAAAGGCCGGAATCGCCGGTGAAAACGGTGTTTTATGCGGGGTGGCGGGGGATTTGACCATGTGTACATGTAGATATATATATATATATACACACAAACATACATACATACATACACACACAGAGAGCTATGTGCACATCCAAATGTTTATAGGGGCATATCAATGAATGTTACACAAGCACTGTCTTAAAGGAGGGGGCCCACGTGCGGCTTTTTCTGACGTGCTCGTCCCAGGAGATCTTGGCCAACTTCGGCGGCCGGGAGCGTTTGGCGCGCCTGGGCCAGGTGTTCGAGGCTCTGCCTCGAGTTGGTGTCCATGTGTGAAGGATTTATACACATATTATTCAATACGTACATGACATATATGCATATACCCATACATACATACATACATACATACATACACACATACATGCACACAAACATGCATACATGCATACATACATACATACATACATACATACACACATACATGCACACAACATGCATGCATGCATACATACATACATACATACATACATACATACATACATACACACATACATGCACACAACATGCATACATACATACATACATACATACATACATACATACATAGATACATACATACAATATATATATATATATGTGTGTGTGTGCATGTATGTACGTATGTATGTATATGTATATGTGTATGTATATGTACATATCTTTATGTGTATATATATATATATGTATGTACGTGTATGTACATGTATGTATAGCTCTGTGTGTGTGCGTGTGAATGTGTATACATATATATATATAGAGATATATATAACTATTTTTTGTTATACGTGATGCTCCTTTCTTTCTCCTCAGGAGCTCACCAAGATGGGCTGCGAACTGCGCCTTGACAGACCTGTGATTAAGTGTGTTTTGACACTGTCATCTTGAGGTTTATTGTGTCTATTGGCTTCCGGGACACCTGCATTCTACCGCACCTCCAGGCCCGCGCACCCGGGGCCCGTGTCAGCGGATCCGGTACTTCCGCATGACTGGCATGGCAGCTTCACGCCTATCGCAACCGCAGGCTGTGGGTCTTGAGCAGCATTTCAAGCCGGAGAATGACGGGCGCTTAGGCTGTCGGTGGGCTTTCAAGCTTCAGTACTATCTTTCAAGTCCACCAGCCGGGGACGCACCCCGCAGCTCACTTCTGTGGCTAATGCGGTCGCAGTTGGTGCCTCGATCGCCCCAGCCCAGGTGTTCGGCCAAGATTCCAAAGCTCTGCAGGAGCGCGGCTTCGTGAAGGGGAGGCCGGGGCTCACTGCAAGAAACCCTTCAGCAGATCAAAATACGAGGAGTAAGAGCTGTTTGTCACCCTGCCTAGTCAGCTATGCGGGTGCTTCAAAGAGGCTGCCGGAGGCAATATACCTTTCTCGTACTTTGCAACTTACCGCACTCGCACAACACCTGCCAACGAAGAGGCTTCGAGTCTCGCAAGTGTCGGTAGCCTTTGCTTTGCCAGGCTGATCGTGCTGGCCTCAGTCGACTGCCGACCGCATTCTGCTTCGGATGAGAATTTTTCGGCTGAACACAATACTGCTGCTGCGACCTTGCTCGATGTCAATGAGCCGCAGAAGCACGTGCTTGCAGTTGGAAGATAACCTTCTCAGGCCGATCTCATGTCGGCCGCTGCCTGAGGAACTTGCCATACTGCTCTCAGCCCACAGCAAGTCTTCCCAAGCAGACGGGTTCTCCTTCGGACCGTCGGTTCATGACAGAAGCCTTTGTTGAACTGGATGATTTGAGCATCTCCTTCCGACACTGCCGCTGCGACACCCAGCCAAAGCTGCTCAGGTGACACTTAGAGCAGCGTAGCTTCGCATCGAATCGAGGAGCTCAGAACCCGTAGAGTTGCCTCTCAGGATCCCTCACGTGGCTGGTTGCCAACAGAGGCGCTCTTCGTGGATGACTCGGTTCGCCACACGGAGGCTGCGGCCCCCTTCTGTGAGGCCGAGATGGGCAGCGTGAGCCTTGATAGCTGACTTTGGGCTCATGCATCTTGTTCAAAGGTGGGCCGCCAACTGTCAAAGCATAGACACTCATTTGCAGCACCAGCCAGGTGGTCCGTGTGCGCGGGAATGGCCTGTCATTCCTGGAACTTGATGCTGTGGAGGCATGCGCTTTGGATACAGCAGCGTTCGTCGTGCACTTCTGAGAACGCAAAGGCTTCAAGGCAGCCGGCGTTGACAAAAAATCCTTCAGAGCTCGGGGTGCGGAAAGTCCTAGGAAGTGGTGCTGGCGTGCAGAAGGCCGCGGAAGGTCCAAGCAACAACGAGTGCGGCGTGCAAAATCTTACACATCGTGGGAAAGAGACGCATGTTGTTTCAACCAGATGCTAATGTTGGGGTGAAACGACGGTGGGATCTTGACTGACAGAAGAATTCGCTTGCGATATCGTTTGCAGAAGGGGACAACGTCCAGCGAGTGCAAAGCATACCCTCGTGTCCAGACGTGAAACGATGCGGAAGGGTTGCTCAGAAGCGGTCTTCGTGTAATGCAGAATCCAAGAACGAGAAGAGAAGCGCGGCTCGCTTCTGCAAAAGGTAGATTACAGTAGCCTCGATCTGATGATTGCCAAGCACGGCCCTGCGTTCCGTGTCTTGCAGCCTCTTTGAAGGCTCTTGCACGTGGCCGGTCTCCCAGTATGCTGACATTGAGAACTCGACAGAGAGCGCGGTTGCACGAAGCCCTCACCGTTTGGAAGCCACGACGGGCTAGCAGCTGGCATACTCGATTTGCCGAGGCGAACGCAGGCCCTTGCCGGGAAGGGTCCCATGGCAACTGCATGAAGACGAGGCGCTGCGTCCTCACAGATTGCACAAAAAAAGCGCAAGTGCATGAAGACGAGGCCATCCCTGGTCAGGTCATAGAGCAAAGAGTTCTCTGCACAGACTGAGAAGAGTTTCCAAAGCGGCAAGGCAGTGAAAGCCTTGGGCAGCTCTGCGCCACTGCCAGGCACGAGAGTAAGGCGAAGTAACCATGTCTGTTTTTTGTGTAGTTTTCTAAATTAAGGTCCCTTTCGGGGTCCTCTTTATAAGAGTGCCGTACTATATTGGGGACCTAAAAAGGGACCCCAATTTGGAGAACTACCCATATCGACTCTTTGCCCTCTTTGCAGCCTGCAAGGTGCTTGGTATGTGGTCCAAGCTGAGTCAAGAGAGCCTTGACAGCTAAAGGAAAAAGATGAGGAAAGTCTTGGAAGCAACATGAGCACAGAAGCGCATTCGCCGACACTACACTCAGCCGTCCTCTGCAGTTGGCTCATGAGTTGAGACGTCTGAGACGTCTGAGACCCAGGCTCTGGCAATGTCCTTTAGTGTAGTGCCGCCGATGGAGGAAGCAGCCGAAGCCATGTTTCCTCCCGACGACGGTGACTCTCCCAATGGTGGTGACAAAAAAGGCCTCACGAAGGTGAGTAGCTGCCGGACAGCAGCTCCAGTCAGTTTTCTTCTTGCGAACATAGAACAACGAGTGGAAGTCACTTTTTTGCCGAACTTGTTGAGGCATGTCGTAGAAGTTTGGGCTTCCTGAACTTAGCAGCATGCATGTAGCACAGAGCGTCAGTGTTGCACTGCCAAGCTGTTCCGTTTGGAAAGGCTCCGTCTTTTTGCTCAGCACGATGTCGCTGGGAGTGGGTGTCTTCTCACTCCCCACCGTCTGGAACGAGATTGGATGGCTTTGGGGCATGGGCCTTTGCTGCTACTTCGGGTTGTTGTCCACACTTCTCATGCTGAACTTGCTGGACATTGTGAAGCATCACAACACGCAGTCCTGGGAGGAACTGTGCCGCTTTGCGCCGCTGGCCCGTACTTGCTCTCGGGTCAGTCTCCTCATTTCCTTGCTCATTGGCAATGCAGCCCACATGCAGACTATCGCAGGAATGCTTTTCGACATCTTAACGTTTTTCATAACCGACGACTACGGGCAATACCATTTCAGCAATACACAGCGGGCTGTCTTGATTCTGATTTTCCTTGGCGTGGCCAGCCCTTTCTGCTTCGCCGACAATCTCGCCACCTTGCAGCATGTGGGGCACGGTGTTGCTTTTGTCGTGATGCTGCTCTGTGCCGCCGTGGTCGTCTCCTCCTGCGTCACCGTCGGCCGTGGTCTCGGAGCCCACGGCGAGTTTGCCACACCAGCCACGGTGCCAGACTTCAAGGCCTTCCTCACCTCGGCTCCAAACGTTTGCTTTGCCTTCACCGGCATGCTCAGCTTCTGGGAGGTTTTTGCGGCCCTCAAGAAGGGAGCAGGGGTGGAGGAAGCCTTCCCGCGCATGAAGAAGACTGCTATCTTTTCCGGCATCTTGGTCCTCAGCTTGTACTTGCTGGTGTCAGGCTTCTGCATTTGGACATTCGGCACAGAGGCTGGCAAGCAGAAAAAGGGCAACGGCTACGGAAACGTGCTTTACAACTTCCCTATTGATGACTACCCGGTTACATTGCTGTGCGCTGCCTTGGTGGTCGTGATAGTCCTCGAATATCCCATCATCAACTTCCCAATGGTCAACATGATCTTGAATGTTCGGACTTTGGGTTTCTTGCCAGAAACAGCCGGACCCCTCATCGCAGAAGTTAATCTCACTTGAGCGCTCACTTGCGCTGAGGCTTGAAGAACCGGAGATACGCGAGGCACTTCGTCAGCCTTGCTGGGATGCTGGCCAATGATTATTGAGCAAAGTAAGACTTTTCTGCGTTTCGAGACTCAGAATTATGTTGATAGGTTCAGCGTGCAAGGATGCTAATCGTCCTCCTGCTGGACCTTGCAGTGCCCGATCTGCCGGACGTCTTTGGACTTTGTGGCTCTTTGGGCCTCAGCCTCTTTTGCTACGTAGTACCAGGCTACATCTGCATTGTGGCTGGCCGGGGGCTTCTGGGCAAGATCGTGGGAGCCTTCGCGGTGGTGACAGGACTTACAATGCTCTTCGGAGGCACCTTCTTCATCCTGAAGAGGGTTGTCACAGGAACGGAATGATGCTGGGCTTGGACCGGCTAGTTCCTTCCATCCTCGCCAGTGATTTTAACATCCTGCGGTTCCTGCTTGAGGTGCCGCAGGGTGCAAGTTTAGTTTGCACCTACCTTGCCTACACATCTCCGCGACTCAGAGGGCTATGGAGTTCGAAAGCGCAGGAGGACAAAGCGTGCTCGCCGATCCACACGCGGCTAGGCATGCCACCCTTTGTCAGGCCTGGTCGGCTACAAATGAGGTATGTGCTTGTTCGTTTGGTGTCGTCGGCTGAGTCGCAGGTTTTCCATGAGGCCTGTGAGGCAACTTAAGGGCAGCTGTTGCGGCTGTGGTGATTTTGCCTGCTTGTCAGTACGATGATGCGCTGCATTCTGTGGCTTCGGCTCGGGGTATGCAGACCAGATGGAAGTCAGAGTTGTGAGTTCCCTCAGGCAGTTGCCATGCACATGTCCGTAGAAGTGGACTCGAACAAAGCAGCACAAACAGCAGCTACCAGAGCCGTCGTTCTTCGTACTTTGCAACAGTTGGCAGAGAAGGATCCCGCGGAGTGCAACTCTTCGAGAGGATGCGTCCTGCACTCCCTTCGCTACGGCCGGATCCCGGGTACAGCTTGGGTCGATCCCAGCGCATGCCGGGATCTTGGCAGACCAAGGGAGCACATGCAGAAGTTGACTCTTCCTTACCATAGGGCAGCCATCATGCCATGACCTTAGGTTCCAGACTTCATCAGCACCACAGCTGCCCGCGATCACTGCAGCAGCAGATTACCTCAGACTTCCACGCCCGGGCGCCCAGTAAGGCCTCAGACGATCCTCTCATCTAGATTCCAATCCATGTTTCGGGCAGGTAAGATGTTGTTGAACCAAGCGGCATCTTTCACTTTGATCTGCTGCTTGGGCATCACCTTCGCCCCCACATAGTTGTTACGTAGCCTACCGTGTCAGTGGCATCTGTCGGAGATGTGATCAAGAAAGCTTCGAAACTCGCATCCTCGCAGGGCAGCACTTCAGATAAATTGACGGGAGCATGCATTCCAAGGCCTGACACCGGCAGTGCATCAGCGAGAAGCAAGACATTTGGGGGGTCAGCTCCGTCCATTTCAGGCAGTCGGCTTTTGCAAGGCGTAAGGCTAACGGCTCACGGAGTTTTCCTCCGACTTAAGCCGCAACGGCTTTCCGGATTACATCTTCGGGCAGGGGATGATGGCATCGGACATCATCATCACAGAGATGGAGGCAACGAGCAGATCGCTGCATAATGCCGGTCATACAGCCAATCCTCACGCGCAGGTCTAGGCTCGGCGATTTTGCTCTTGCCAGCCCGAGTTTGCGAAACAGAAGCTTGCCAATATCTCTTGCAGAATCGCCTCTCCCTTGCGGAAGCACTGCACAAGGCCGCGCAGGCCAAGCCATGCTGCGAGGGTCAGGGAACAGCATGTTGGGGAGTTGGGGCAAAGCAAGATCAAGGGAGCAAGTTGTCCTTCCGAGCGCCCGTGGTAATGGCTCCTGCTTTTCGGAGTGGAAAGCCAAAGCCAGAAGCCGTGCTTGTATCAGATTATCAGGCTTCAAGTAGATGTACTTTTCGGCTGCGAAGCGCAAGACCGATTGTCACAACACATCTCTACCGCGACAGGTGTCACCGCCCGCGAGGCAGTGGTTCCGTGTGTGTCGAGTTTATGGATGTCCTGCGCACTTCTGCGGCTTATCTCAGTGTCAAGCACTGCTCAGATTTGAGGAGCTATGTGGTCGAGTAGCGCGAATTCGCAGTCGTTTCTCGCGATGATTACACGTGCTTGTGATGTGTTTGGCTTGCCTGTCAAAGAAAACCTCATGACGCAGGCAAAGATGGGCGCCCAAGCCGAAGACTCCTCCAGCAGTCGTGTCGGCACAGAGCTCAAGACTTGAAGTTTTGGCGCAAGTACAGCCGAGACTTTCTGCTTGCTCCCATTCCCTAGATTCTAGATAGAAGCAAAAGCGGGTGCAAAGTTATTCAGCCGATTTGGCACGAAATCCTGTTGTTACCACAACCGTTCGTGCCACCAAAGGTGCCAACCGCAGCGAGGGCATTGGGTCCATATGCGCCAGGCCACATGATCGCTGACATGGTATGGTTGCCATCATCGTGGATCGTTTCGCCCTTCAACACCACATCTCTCAAAAACCCGTTGGCTGTTGAATGCGTACTGCCCAGCCAGCAGTCAGGGAGTGAAGCTGGGAAGTGCACCAATCGTCTCTTTGGTTTTGCTCTCAACTTGTCAAGCTAATTTCATCCTGACACTCACTTGGAACCGACGCACCATTGGCATGGCATCATAAGCATAGGTCAGGCAGCAAAGACGGCTTGGGTGCTTGAGGGTCATGCTCGCACCCATGTGTAGAAGATGCCTCGCCGGCGAACCGCTTGAGCACAGCCTCTTGCAAAACCAGGCTGGGGTGCAGCAGCGAGCATTAAGGTTTCTTCGCCAAGACCTCGGGTTGTGGTCCTGCGTTCTCTACAGGCTTGCTCCGCATTGAGTTGATTACCCTCCTGCCCTTTGGCAGAGTTTCCGCACTCTCGGTGCTTTCCCCACAACTCAGGCATCCAGGATACTTGCCACCGTGGATCTCGAACGAGACTTGGGACACGGTGCAGCAGGTGGCAACACGCGCTGCCAGGGACACATCTTTTCCAACCCATGAAGTTTTGCAGTCCGAACGTATTGGATGTTATCCCACAGCCCAGGCCACGAAGCGCATCGCTGGTAAACCCTGGAGGCCAAAGGCAGGGGAACTTCCCTGGCGGTTTTGGTTTGGAGCCACGGAAACGCAGAAAAGTGCTGCACAGGTGCCGCGAATATGACGAGCGCCGAGGACCCATCATGCATGACGGGGCCATGTACCAAATACATCAGACTACGAGTGAGGGCAGTTCTGTGTGCCAGGTTAGGAGTTCGAAGACTTTGGTGTTGTGGGAGATGCAGGACGTTAGGCTTACTATAGCAAGTGGGTCAAAAGATTGGACAAGGATCACGATTGTCGTTTTCCACTTCACTTAAGTAGTCGGCCTGGTCCTTAGCAATAGTTACGGTGGCAGGCAAATGATTGATTCAGAGACAATAAAGGAGGGGATCTTTCCCCATGCTTTACATTGCATATGCGCTGTCTCGACCCTCCAGCAGCAGTTTCAAGGGCAATTGGCAGTATGGCGATTTTCGTGTGAGTGACTTGACAGGTATTGCTTAATTACGCTTGCGTCTGCCTGGCTGTTGCACTTTCTGACAAGTTACATGTCTGGACAGCGAGACACAGCGAACCTTGCTGTTGCCCACGCAGCTGCGTGCTGCGAATTTGCCGCGCCGGCTTATGTAAGGTTTTCGAGCGGAGTATTGGTATTTTCGGGCCGGGACATGCCAACCTGCTTTGCCTGCTCTCTACTTCTTTTGCTCGTAAAATTTGTAACAACTGTCAGCAGTTGGCCAAAAGAGTGGGTTGCGTGGACTGCCCTGAGCACATCACTGACATACTTATGCCAAGCGTCCCCCACGCTCGAGTGATTCGCAGCGCTGTGCTGCAAAAGATTCGTTTGACGAGTCGCCCCACCCTTTCCCGCTGCCCTTCCTGCCCCTAGCGTTCGTGGCCCTCTTCTCAAGTTAGCAGCATGCTTGGCAAGGGGTTTCGAGCTGCACTTGCTGTAGGTGGATGGACCCAAACTCGTAAGCCCTTCAGGCAGAAGCCGATGGTCTGATTGGCTTGGACAGCAGAGCTGCTCCTTATGCCTCGGTCTTCCGCTTTTGTGCAGTTGAACGCAGTTGGTGGTTCTTTGGGACGCGTTAAACATGCAAGCCAAATGGCCGCTATGTATCCTAACCGTGGTGACCTGCCGCGGGCCAGTGTACAGAGCGCGCAGGTACCTGTACCGCTATCGAGCATTCTCAGCCGCAAGCAGATCGACTTGCCATGATCTGTAGGATGCCAAGGGCAAGACGAGTGCTGCGCCAATCTGAGCCGAGCAGGTGATGTATTTGAGCTGGAGTGCATCGCGACACAAGCGGCAGAGACTTTCCACCGACATTTCCAAATCTCATGGGTGGCACAGAACTCTGACTTGCACGCTCCAGATGGAAAACAAGAAGATTGCAAACAGACCTGTGACACAGCATCGTCGTGCAGTTGAAGGCTCGTGCAGAGATTTGGCCTTGCGGGATAGCACCGGCAGATCATTGCGAGTCATCATGACTTGTAGTGGCCTGACGTGGCTTGAATATTGACCATTTCCGCTGCACAACGGCCGTCAGGAAGTTTAGCAAAGCCAACATGAGGCGAGTACAAATTGTATTTTATATGTTCTCGAAGCTCAGCATGAATTCAAGTGACTTAAAATCCACGAGGACATGATCCACTTAATCGTGTTGTCAACTCCGTTCTCCACTTAGCGAAGTCGGAAGCCATTGCGACCTGCCATGGAAGACGAGAACGGGACATTAGCTGAAAGCGCGGCCGCGGTGCAACTCGGCCGTATTGGGGAGTCGGGGCGTACAACCCGCCCAACATCTTTTTTGTTGCTCTTGGAATGTAAGACTTCTTCCATTGCGGGTTTCAGGCTTCCCTACAGAGGCACTTGAGTTTTAGCACAGCATTCCCACTCAAGATCCCTTTTTGTATGACAGGTTTTTGGGTTATATACACAGATAGGTATCCATTTATCTACCTATCTTTGTGTATCTGTGTGTGTGCAAGATCACGCCAGCATTCAGACACAGGGTTGTTGGTGGTGGTGCTGGTGGTGGTGGTGGTGGTGGTGGTGGTGGTGGTGGTGGTGGCGGCGGTGGTAGTGGTGGTGGTGGTGGTGCTGGTGCTATTTTTTTGGTATGTTTATCGTGGCGGTTTTGTACTTTGTGTCCGTCTCGGTTGCCTAGGCAGGCAGGCAGGCAGGCAGGCAGGCAGGCAAGCAGGCCGACCGGTCAGCAGGCACGCAAACTTGGTTGCAGACCCTAAAACAAAACTCAAGCCATGAACCCTGAAAGACGAAACACCTGCAGCTTAGGGCATGAGGCCAGTTTAGATTCCTAAACAGTGCCACTCGTAGTGCACTACAAGCCATATTGCAAAAACACCATGGTCTTCGTCGGGAAAGGAGCATACTCAAGGAAAACTGGCAAAAAACACTATCAAGACCGCCCGGATAAAGAACACGAAACTAATCTGGCCACCGGAGTTTATGCGGATAACAGCAACTTTGTCTTCGTGGGTAACAGCAAACTCTTGCACACTGCCCATGCAGTCCTTCTGCGGTATCCAAGCGGATGAAGCAGCAGAGGCTTCGAGCCGTGGAGGATGTCTTGCGAGCGCAGCTTTCGGGGCCGAGCCCTCGGTAACGTCCTCTCGCTCTCAATGTGTTTCAGTTGCAGCTGTGCATGGATGCTGGAAGCTGAGGGAACATCGCTACACCCAAAGCTTTTGGGAGGACGTCCAGGCCTTCGCCCATGCCGTCGTGTGCTGCTCAGATACTGACACTTAGCTTCGTCTTTCAACATTTCGCGACCTTGGAGACACCTACCTGTCGCACGGGAAATGGAAGAGCTCGAAATTCAGGCATCTGAGGCCTGTGTACTTTGGAGTTCTGAACATCGTTAGAGCTAGAAGACAGAACATGCAAAGACCGGTTCGCTTTTCCTGAGGACTGGCGGAAAGACACCTGGATTTGGATGCTGTTCATGGTGGAGACGCTTGGCGGCAGGTTTACTCCAAAGTCGAGTCCGCAGCATCGAACTCCAACCAAGAAATCTCGAAGAGGTCCTAGCACGGTGGAACACATTTGGCAACCACAGAGACGGATGGAATGCTCGATTTGTGCCTTTTGTCGCCTTCTGGGTTTTCTTTGCATCTCGCGGCGGCTTCAGTCTAATATAGGTGCCTAAATAATTACCAAAACTATGTATGGTTATAGTATGTTATAGTAGAACATACCCCCAAAGCCGAGGCTCATCGACCTGATCTGCATTTTCCTTAGCCGGAGGCCAGGCGTAACAGTTTAAACTTCTAAAACGGTTTTGCATGGGAGTTTCCGAAAATAAGGGGTACCTTCTGTTGGGGTCCTTAGAATCAGGATCCTACTATTTAGGGTGCTACATCAGGGCCCCCTATTTTCGGAAACCCCCACATGTCCTTCCTGTCAATGTTTCGGCGTTGGACCACGGCTTTGGGTTTTTCTTCGGACCGACGGCACCTCACAGACCCGGAAAAGCAAGGTCTGCTCACTCTTGAAAAAACGAATGTGCCGCGTGTATCTCACGAGAGGTGCGCGGTCAGCAAGATGCAGTAAACATTGCGGAAGATCAAACATACACGCACATGTGAATATGTATATACACATATACATATACATATGTATTAGTCTTTGTTATTCTTGCATGCATGCACACACAGTCACCTTGACATACATTCAACCGTACCTGTCATGCGAAAAGTCATAAGCTGAGACCACAATCACTGCAGCTGCCGCCATGCAGAAATATTGGCGGTCTTGCACCATTTGCAGGGGGAGAGACACAGAGAGACAGATAGAGGAGTATTTGTCGGGGGTTTGTTCCGCACTGCTGCTGCTTTCGTCCGGCCCTCAGAGGGTTTGCCACTGAGTGTTGTCGTGCGAGGGACCTTTTGGACGCCGTGCCTGTTGCGGGGGCTTTCAAAGAGTCTGTTTTCTGGCTGCCTTGAGATGCACTGCGCTGTGTTGCTTGCTGTATGCCCCATATGCAATGCAAGCATTGCACTAAGGAGACTGTGACCAGGATGTTTTGAGTTTCTCCGTTGTGATATATAGCAAGCTCTACTTACAAGTGAAGGCGATACTTTCCGACTTCTTTGGGAGGTCCTGGGAGCGTCTCTCCGTGATCTTCATGGCCAGAGCCCAAAGACGTCATTGGGGGGGGCTCTTCACGTGAGTAAGATGCCCTGAGATGCCGTGAGACTGTGAGTCGAAGTGTTTTGCTTTGTCAAGGGCAAACCTGAATCCAGCTCTTGGTAATTGCTCGCAGATGCGAATTTGCATGTTTGTTCCGCTCCCGGTCCAGGACAAGCAACCGGACCTAACGGACTCGAAAGGATGCTTTCCGACCCTTGCTGTTGGAATTCAACGAGCCTTTCCAAGCCGATTTGCAAACACGAAGCAGCAGGACAAAGCTCAGCAGACGAGCGCGGCAAGACTCCTCAGCAGAAGATACTCGACACAAGCCGACATGGCTGTAGGCCAACACATGCTGCCTGGCTGCCGCGGAGACTCTGAACAGACTCGCCCAAGCCTCGGTGCGTCGCACGCTGAGCCCGGGTCGCTTCGCTTTGGAGCCTGAGGCTGGCCAACACTGGATGGCCTTTTCCAGCCAGGACTACTTCGACTCTTCCGGAGCCAGGGCCTTAAGGCAGGCCACTGCCACTCCGAGAAATGCTCCCACTCCTCTCTCCGACAACGACGACTGCTACTTCCATTTCTATAGTCTATACAGGCAGCGACGAGAATTTCTGCGCAAGTTCTGGGTTGCAGTGCTCTGGCACGAGCATTCTCTCTTAACAGCAGACCTACTGCCAACAACAGTCTAGCAGCAGTAGTAGTAGTAGTAGTAGTAGCAGCAGTACATTGTGCCGGGAATTTAGAACAATGAATTGTAGAGCAAATATTGGTCAATCTTGCAATCTCGGTCCGACTAATTTTCCTTTTGGATGGTGGTAGTAGTAGTAATAGCAGCAGCAG